TTTAAAACCCTTCTACCTAGCTTCAAAATGGAATCCAGTTGGATGAACTTAACTATGTCTTAACTACATCTGCGAGTTCGCTTAGATTGTTCAGAAAAAGGCATCAAAGAAATCTATAATATATATAATGTGGGAACATAAACATTTCTGGTGGGTAAAATATTTGAACTGCGAACGCAATTTGTTTATTTATTAATTTTATTTTATTACTGTGATAGCTGCAATTACAGCTGCAGCTGCAACTGCTGCATGCAACATGCCGCAATATTTGTCATGAAATGTTATTAATTTATGAGCGGACTTCAAGCGCGCTCCAGAGGCGCAAAATGTGCTAATAATAAAAATTCAAAAAAAGTGAAGAAAAAAAACAAGTAAAAATAAACAAGCAAACACTGTGAAATAAAAGCTTCAGCGCACACTTAATCTAGTTGAGACTTCCCCCACACCCCGACGCACCGCGCACCGCGCACTCCGGCGCCCGGCGCCCGGCCCCACAGTCCTGCAGTGGCGCTTATGTTTAATGCATGCCACAGTCAGTGTGGCAGTTGTAAACGTAACCAGCCAACAACTGCGGACAGCAACTATGACTGGTCTTAATCGCAATCGCAGAGCCAGTCAAGCAAACGCCTGAGACCTGAGACCGGAGACCTGGAGACCCAGGCGACTATAGCGATTGCCTCAAGTGTAACTGCAGGAGGGAAAACTCGTGAAAACTCTAGGTTCGGGGGCATGGGGCGCAATTCGCGCTGACTGCCAGGGCGGGCATTCGGTGCGTAGGGCATTCAGAGTGGAGCTGGGGGACAACACTCGCACACTCGCACACTCACACACTCACACACAAAACTGTCGTCCTCGCACTTGGCTTTAATATTCAAATGGCAACCAACCTCAAGCAATTGTAGAAAACGCAACGCGACGCAGCAAATACAAAAAAAAAAAAACAAAAAAAATCCCGAAAAAAAAAATAAGGGAAAAACTTGTAGATGCGACCGCGAAGAGCAACAGACAACGGCGACGGTGACGACGACGGTGACGGCGACGGTGCGACGGACTGACAACGACTCCGCTGACAGCTGGAGCACGACGTAGCACACAGATACGATGCCGCACGACACACACACACACTCATGCACGCAAGCACGCACGCACGCACACACACACACACGTACAGACGCGCGCTCAACACACTTGGATATGGCAATTTGTTGTCCCGGGTCCCCAGAGCGACGTGGAGACTAACACGCCGCGCAGCCAAAATTACACTGAAACCGTTTGTAAATGTGAACTCCAGCAGCAGCAGCAGCAGCCGCCAGCGACCGCCGCTGCTGCCGCCGCAGCCGAGCCGGGACCGGCAGACAAACCGACCAAATACAACGGGATCAGAGCGCTCCATAGTGTATCTATGGTAACCGAAGGCAGCGCACGAGAGCCTCACTGCCAGACTAACTGCTGGGCCAGCGCTGGGCTCGCCTGGGCTGGGGGCTGCGAAGGGGGCGGACGCTAGGGCAGTCGTCCATGCAAAATAGCCAAATAGCCAGAGAAATGTATTTTTGGCTGTGAACGAGAGAAAGAGAGAAGAGAGCTTCAATCGCAAATGCCAAAGAGCTGGACAGAGAGTCACAACGATTGAGAGAGCGAGAAAGAGAGAGAGAGAGAGCTTTTTCCAGGCAACTCTCACCGCGCATAGACCAAAATCCGAAAACTGAAAACTGGAAAACTGTTAATGTAAATGCCTTTCAACTCTCACGCAATGTCGGCAAGTCTTTAGCTTGTTTTCATGCTCTAACACAGGGTATTCTAAATTTGTCACTCAATTTGGTAGATAAATGATAAATATTAAATGATATATATTATTATGATTTTTTCTCACAGTCATCATACATATTAGAGCCGACTAAATGATTCAAAATCCCTTGGAAGAGTATGGATATCATTGAACTTAGCTGCACGCTCATAGTATATAGCTATTTTATAAACAAATGAAATGAATAGTAAAAGTATCTATTAATTACAACAATAATAATATTGTAATCTAGAAGAAATATCCGCCAAAGAAACGATTACTGAAGAATTGGCTACTAAATTCCCTTTTTTAAATATATTAACCATACGCTTAGTTGGGCTAAATGTAATCATGTTTTATAATATAAATAAATATAAACAATAATATGAAATGAAAATTGCATTAAAAATAGTAATAGTAAGAGACATAATAATAATAATTAGAATAATATTATAAACAATATATTATTGTCCATAAATTAAAAATCTTTTTGTTACTAGACGACTAAATTCCCAAATCGTATAGCTGTCATTAGGGTAAATACTAACGATTGTAAAGAAAATCGAAAACTAGTAAATAAAGTGTATTTCAAATTCGGTACTCACTTCATTTCTGATTTCTTTTCATTTTCTTTACCTGCTCCCACAACATTCCAGCAACTGAGAGCCAATAGCAACTACACCAGCAACAACAGCAGCAACAACAACATCTTTAATGTTTATGACGCTCAAAGATTTGCCAAGCAATGCGTAGCACTACGTAGATACATTAATAGATGCGTACATACCCATAGATACTCAAAGCATTTGGCTAGCTTATGATTTTCGACTCGTAATTGAAATTTCATGGATTATTAGATTTTGGAGAGGGGACTTTAAAGTACGAAGTACGAAGATTGACGCCAGTCCCGATGCGGCCGAAGAGCAGCTGACTGTCTGGGCGCCAACTGTTGATTGGTCTGTCAACTGCCCTTTGGGGCTGTGCCCCCTGCTGTGGATGTGCTTAGGTGTATTTTGGATTTCAGTTGGGCTTGTGGCTGAGGGTTTTGTTATGTCCTGACGCTTTCATGGGCCATGTGGCAGCCTAATGAAGCGCTCTGCTGGTCAATAGCCTCAGGCCTTTGCACCTGGTCAAAGCTCTAAGCTTAACTCCAGAGTTCAAGCCGTTGGGGCTTGGGTTGGCCTTCAGGTATTCATGATGCGCTGCCCAACGGTACGAGTAATGTAATTGCTTTCACAATTGAGCAATGAAATCGAGACATTTAAATGCCCAAGTTGTTGTTGTGGCACACGTTCCAAGGGAACCCAAAAATAAAAGAAAAAAAAAGAAAAAAGTATAAAACCAAACAATTTAAGGTCTTGGCTATCCGCGCATGATTTGCTATTTTGCATAGGTTTGATGACTCGACGAAAAAAGTGAAAGAAATAAGCAAATAGCAAAGACTAAGGCAAAAAAAAGCTTTGCCTGTTTACTTTCAAACCGTTGGTAAATAAATAAACAGTAAAACGAAATCCAACTAATGCCATAAGTCCTGTTGCGATTCTCGAAGTAGGGTATGGACTTTGCTGAAATCATTTAATGGCAGTTCTATGTAGCCGTGGTGAATACATCTAATTTAAAACGCATATACTTATAATGTTTAAATTGTAGAGATTGTTTAAAAATAAAATTAGTAAAATAATATTTGATTCTTAAATACACTTTCAACAATTAATCTTACCAAGTGATTCAGTTAAAATGCTTTTTATTTTCCCCGAATCTCTTCTACGTTCAAATATTAGAGATTTGCATCTACCCGAATCGATAAAAACGCTTCTGGAATGTATTTTGCAGAGAATGTAAGAAAATAAATAAATAAACAAACTGGCCTATACAGATTACAGATTTTTCACTACTTTTGATGGAAGGGAAACTGTATGCTACGTACTACGCAAGATAAATTTCTATTCCTTTACATAAAAAACTATAGATACGTTGAGCCCAGAACTGGCTCCAAAGCAACTTACGTTAAAATTTAAAGTTTATTTTTTTGCATTTTTGCCGTTTTTGGTGTTCAATAGATTTGTTTATTGCATTTCAGTTTTGAGTTTCGTATATTTATTATATATAATTAAATTTATTCTTGTTCATGCGTTATTGAGAGAACAGTTTTGCTTTTAGTTCAAATAGTATACAATTCGCTTAACTATACAATTACAAATCAGTTTTTCAATTGTTTGCAAGGGAAAACAATATTCATAATAATAAGAAATAAAAACAAAACAATATTTAAACGCCTTTGCATATTTCATATATATATATTTATATATATATGTACGCGTAGGTATTATATATTTATTATAAGTTTCTCATTAATGCTTTTCCATTGTAAAAACTTAACAAATGTTTTGCAAACTTTATTAATTTATTCGTTTTCCTTTTTTTTTACGAAATATTTTGGTATTTATTGCAAAGCGTTAGTATCTTCTTCTTCTTTTTTGTATTATGTTTTTAGCTTAGAAATTATCGTTAGTATTATGTATAGATACAATAACTATGTTTGTATGTAAGTATGTATAATGCCTGCTGAGAGATATTTAAAATGTACAAGAGGGTTTACCTAATGATATCCAAGAGAAACACATTAATTTGTTTCATGTATATGCACTCTGCTCTGAACTCTGACCCCCTGCCACTGTCCTTATTACCTAAGAAAAAGAAAGTATCTAAAAGGAAAACAAGTTGTGAGCTACGTTTGCCTACAACAACTTTGAAGATGAAAAACATTTGAATATATGCAATTTAAATCGTTTTACGCTCGTTAAAGCAAAGTCCTGCCAGAGAGAGATTTTCCATGCCAATTTACACTTCTTCTCCAACCTCTACATGAGGACCCTGCCGTCTGTTCCAGGTTGAGAACAAAAAAAAATGTAATTAAAGTTGAAGCGTTTCTTTCATGCGCCCCTCTGCTAATTTGTCTGGTGCTGATGATGATGGGATCACGGGCAGCCGGAAAATTTCATTTGTTTTTCTAAAGTTTTCTAAAGTTTGCACAATGTTTTTCGGTTGGTAGCATCAACGCCAAAGTCAAGGAAAGCCCGTTGGATGTAAGCACTTATTAGCTGAAAAAGTTAACACGTGCCTTTAACAAGCGATTGGCAGCGTTGAATGCTTCAATGAATTTTAAGCAGTTGCCATAATATTGTGAAAAACTTTTATATTTTATAGATCTGCTATCTGAACCACGCTCATATTTTCTAATTAGGCAATAACAAAGCTTCTAAGCAAAGAAACGCTAGCACAGCACGAACCAAAGTCCAGCTACTTGAGTTGGTTTTTATCAGTTGAGGCATAAAAAATAGAGAACACTTAGCTTTGGGAACTGTTGAGCTTTAAAAGGAAAGGCATAGCTGATTTGATGCTGTGTCTAGATTCTAGATGAAATTAAAGCTTTCGAAACACAACTGTCCTTGGACAATACTTAAGGAACTGGCAAACCGAATAAAAAACATTGTTTATTGTTCTTGAGTCCTACGGCTGTTAAAATCGTTGGCTATGTAGTATATACAATTCTGGCTATTTCTGGCTAATAATGGATTTATATAAAATGGATCGATCGATAACCACGCTAAATAAAATACTAAAAAAAACTTCGTCATTAAAAACTTGTTCAGTATCTGTTTAAAACGCCAAGCAGTGCCGATGCATTATTAATTGTAATAATACTTATATAGCTACAGTAATATGTATGTCATGATATGGCCGAATATGGGGAGTCTATGTTAGCTTGCGTGATAATAGATTTTTCGAGATAATTACTCGTAAGTAGTCATACGTATGCGAAGGTTATGATAGGTTATAGGCTAAATATTGCTTGATGGGATTATTGAGAATTTCATCATGTTTCATTTGTTCCAATTCCCTTTAAAGAAATGCCTTCTTGGTCGCCTCCAGAGTGGTGCTGGTCGTCGTTGTGGTGCCGGTGCCGGTGCTATCCTTGCCCAGGCTGGCGGTGGTGGACACTGCTATGCTGGGCACCGCTGGCATTGTACCAGATGCGGCTGCAGCCGCTGCACCCGCAGCCGTGGCTGTTGCTGTTGCCAGTGTCACTGGTATTGTTGGGGGCGCTGTCGTTGGGGGCGTGGCCGCTAGCTGTGTCGGGAAACGCGGCTGAAATGTGGGCTTACCCATGGCCAGTGCCGGATTCAGATCTAACATGGTGCGTGGACTCATCGCAACGATGCTGGCGCCCAGGGGACCTGTGAAGAGTTGAGCAACTGTTTGGTTTTAGCGCAGTTTAACGAGAGCAGAAGAATGTAGATTGTAGAGTAAAGAGACAGCGAGAAAGAAACAGAGAGAGATAGAAGGAGTAGAGAGAAAGAGAGAGAGAGAGAGAGAGAGAGAGAGAGAGAGAAAAATAAGCATTTATATTAAATTTAGTTAATAAAGCTAGAAAATCAATCCAATTTCAATTAACTTAATTCGAATTCAAGGATAGACGCAACGCTATTAGTGTTGTTTAAATACAGGGTGCACTTGATACTACTAATTACTGGGTGTGTGATTGGTATAAACAATATACAATACACACACAAAAGACAACACACACACACACGGGCAGAGAGTGTTGCACATGGTTATTTAATACACACAACTTAAAGTAATTAACAACTAACTAGGGTTAATGACACTCCAGAGTGGCTCGTGCCACACAGACGGGCAACATGCAGCATGCAGCATTGAAAACAATCAACTACTTTTAGATACTTGAGGGTTGCTTAAAGTTTTCGCAAACTTTTCGAATCAACACTGGATGATGGTTAAGGTGTGAAGGTTACGATTTTGGTTTCGATTTTAGTTTTGGTTTTTGTTTGCGGTTTCTTGAAGGTTTTGCTACAAACTATTTAGTTTTGGAAATTAAAGTTTCTGGTAGGACCTGTTGCGAGCGCCTACACTACATAGATAGGATTCGTTTTGGGATTAGAGTAGAGAGTACTAGTACATAGAGCTATACTATTTAGAATATGGTAAAACCAACACACCCGCCCAGCTTAGTCCGTTACATTTTGGCATTGCCCGATAGCATGAGAGATGAGCATTTTACGATAACGATAACGATTACGATTGCGATTGCGATTTGTTTTGTTTTGTCTTCCGATCTTAAATAGTTTTGATTTTTGGTTTTTTGATTTCGATTTTGAGCGTTTTGTTGAGTTTTTGTCATTTTTTTGGTGCTTGCATTTGAACTGTGTTTTCTTTTTCGGTACTTTGGAAGAATATAAATTACAAAATATGAACTGGTTTTATCTTTTAGTCGAAACTGAAGGCCATATCTGAAATACAAAAGTTCAAGATAATACAAATATGTTTGTCTATAAAAATGTAATACGTATATAACTACTTATATTATGTTTAACGCCATCTGAGCGTTTCGAATAACAATAAAGTATATATATGAAATACACACACGCAGACACACATTAAGATATTCAACAAGTGATATAGAAAGAGAGAGAGAGATAGATAGATAGATAGATAGAGAGAGAGAGACATATAGAAGATATATAGAGATACTTGTAGAGTAGATATTTTGATATGTATGCATATAGAATAGATACTTTTGAATGAACAAACGAACGAGCCAGAACTGATGAACAACACGTATACGATGCGCAACATCAATATATCAATATTCATATATAGTAGGTTTATATATAGGTATATATATATATATGGAAGAAAACACATAGAAAATTACATATTGTATTTATATACGATCATATATATGGGATATATACGATTATATAGCAAGTTGTAGTAGTTATAGTAGTAGTAGTAGTAGGTGTTGGTAGTAGTAGTAGCAGACGCCGCCGAGCTTGGCACGTGTTTTGAATCATATTGAATCCTTGGATGCCAACGTACCACGATAAGATAATCTCAATCCTGCGGCTCCTTTAAAGTTGTATTCGATTAATGTGCATTTTATTAGATCTGCGATTTGATATTGGCTTTCTAAAGTGTAGATACTTCTAGTTGGGATGAATTCTTTCTAAATAATAATGATGCCAGTTCAATAGTTGCTTCATAGATATGCTCCATTCTTAATGTTCCTTATTGCTCTTTGCATTTAAATATTTCGCTAGTGTTCAGGGTTCAGAGTTCAGTGTTCTTGTTACATGGTTATGGCTTAGAGCAGCCTGCTTTTTTTGCCATCACGTGGTTTGCCAATCATTGTTGTATATTCATCTAAGTATTTACATAAGATTTTTGGTTTTTGATTGGGTTTTATCAAAAAAAAATTATAAAAAATACATTTTAAGCAAAATTATTTAAAAATCGAGGTTGAAATGGGTTAGATATCGATTTGGTTGATATGAATAAAAAGAAATAAACCCGATAAGGCCAAGAACTGAGTGGGTAGGACTTCAATATATTGTACAAAAATATTTTGGAATTTCCTTAAGGTGTTGTAACTTAAACTTTTTTTAAACTTTTTTTAAGCCATGAATGGAAACTCGAAGATGGGAATGATGAATGTTGATTAGAGATCTGCAAGAGAACTGCTAAAAATATCAATTTATTTTCGATATACTGAGTATACATCATATATTGGGAGTTATCTTCCCTTTAACCATTAAACATTTTATTTCAATTTATGAAATGCAAAGCTTTTCTTGTATTTTATATTATAGTATCTTGTTGATAATGAAGATATAGATACTATCGTCCTTCTTAGTCGATATTTTTACAGTTCCAATGATTACTCATAGGATCAATGTGCTTTTGAGTATCTAAACTATCTTTACGGATCTCCGATCAACAGCTCTCTGAGCTCATGAGCAGCGTTAAACGAAAGCGAAGCCTTGGGATGATTCAGAAAATGAGCTTTCGATGAGGTGATTCGAATATGCATTCATATTTTAATTACATAGAGTACATATATACACGCACAATTTTATTATATTGTTTTGCAACGCTCAAGGAGCGCGCCCCAAAAATAAAAATTGATATATCATAATAGGTCAAAGGATCATTAGTCAACTCTTAGAACTGTAGCCTTGTGCGCAAGCTTTTGCAGAATTTCGGAATATTGTTTCGAATAGATATTGCCTAGTATGCTTTTTTATCGAGAGAGAGCGAGATAGTGAGAGAGGGGGCCAGGGTAGAGCGCAATAACTGCTAAGTGAAACTCAAAGACTTGAGTACTGAGTGCAGCTGTGCAAGCTTTGAGCTTTCGTGTGGGTTAGGAACTGATTGCCGCACGGCAACACTGTTTTTTTTTGTTTTTTTGTTTGCTTGGTACTACATAGAGAGGCATACGTTAGGTGAACCGGGTGTTCCGGGTGTTGAAGCGCAGCTCAGTTGTAAGGTGGTGAACATTGGTGCTGCGGATGGTTGTATTTTTGGCGACGGCGCAACCAAACACTCACCTGACTTGGGGCTGACCAGATCCTTGGTTTTGTTGTTCATGCGGCGCGGTCCGGTGCCGCCGGAGCCCATGGGACCCGAGTGTGGACCAGACCCAGGTGTGCCGCAGCCACTGACTGGAGCGCCTGGATTAAGGAGAGAGTGAGCGTGAGAGTGGGTCATTTGGCTGGTTTTTGAGTTCTCTCGATTCGATACTTACGCTCACCTGGCCGGTGTGGCTGTCGCGGCTGTTCCACGGGAAGCACTCGTCTTCGCTTCTTTGGCAGTTTGGCCCGCGCCTGCGTATGCGAATAATACATGGCAAAGTTGCTGACTATGACGGGCACTGGCAGTGCAATGGTTAGCACACCGGCAAGGGCGCACAGGGCGCCGACAAACATGCCAATGTAGGTCTTGGGCGCCATGTCACCATAGCCGACAGTGGTCATGGTGACCAATGCCCACCACAGGCCCAGCGGTATGCTATTGAAGTCGTTGTGCGGATTGGGCTGTATGCGCTCGGCATAATAGACGAGGCTGGCAAAGATCACAATGCCCAGCACCAGGAAGAATACGAGCAGTGTCAGCTCCTTGGCCGATGCCCGGAACGTTTGTATCAGGATTTTCAGGCCGGACGAGTGGCGTGTCAGCTTGAACAGCCGCATTATGCGTATGATCGAGAAGAACTCGAGTATGTCAGCGTTCTCCAGATGCGATGCGAATCGCTGAAGCACTAGATCGATATAAAAACTAAGCGTCGCTACATAATCTATGATGTTAACAGATGACTTTAAGAATTCACACTTGTTCGGCGATGAGATAAAGCGCACCTGCAATGAACAAAATTTAAATTAATTGAAATTTAAATTTTTATTTAGTTTTAAGGTGGATCAGTTAATGCACAAGTTTTGCTGACAATTGAAGTATATGCAAATATATATCCAACCTATTTATTGACCTTATATGCTTTAGTATTTCTTAGGAGAAGGCCATAGTTTCTCGTAATATTCAAAAATACGGTTGTCAATTTGTAACTATATATGTATAATCTAAACCCATATATTGTTAATACGGTATATTATAATATTTCTTGTATTTTGCATTTACAAATTGTATTTACTTTGAAATTCTAGTCCTGGTTTATAAGTTTTTAATATTATTTTATTTTCTTATTTTCTTATTATTCACTATCTCCTGCTTATTATCTGAAACATTGGATATTGGTATTTATGCACATATATTTTCTTGGTTTAGTTGTTTCTCAATATTGAACTTTTCTATGTATGGGCTTATCTCTGCTTGCTATCCTGTTGTAATTGCTCGATAATTGTTTTCTTGCCGTTAGACTTTGTAGCCTCTATTTATCAGCTTTCTTATAAATCAAGTGAATATGCAAGACACGAATGGCTCTTCTAGATCTGCAAGAATTATAGTTTACCTTGCAAGTTTTAACTACTACCTACTACACTTCTGTCTTTGATCTAACATATAATAGACTAGACTACGTACTCCTGTTATCCTTCAAAATATCTAAAAATCTATCATCTCTCATACACCGATACACCGTATCGATAGTCTATCGCTTACTCACCAGTATCTCAAACGTAAACCAGGCATTGCAAACGCATTCTATGTAGAAGAAGGCAATGTGCGCATTGGTCATTGACTTGTCCAGAAACCAGGCGGCGCTCCCGTTTGCCGTTTTCACGGTCACATTGTGCACGATGGGCACACGCATGTCCGGATGGGTTTTCAGGCAGAAGGACAATATCGAAATGCATATGAAGAATACCGAGACGACGCCAATGGTCTGCAAAGGCGGTTGAGATTTTAAGTTAGGCTGCGGAAGATCAGAGACTCATGCACATATACCTTGGCGGCATTGGAACTGTAAGGCTCATCGAATAGCGACCAGATGCGTGGCTTCATTTCCTGCCACCAGGATACGGTGCCTTTGTAATAGTCCTCCTCAAAGCCAAATTTGCGCGCCAATTCCTCTTCGGACGGTTTTTCCGTGTCCAGATCTAAGCGATCCAGTACGGCTAGGGTTTCTTGTGTGTCACGATGCTGTGGAATTAAAGAGCCTTAGTATCGCTTTATCTTTTGTAAAATCCAAGAACTTACCTGTGTATAGGTCATCCAGCAACAGGGCTCCACCTGGTTCGAGTCAAGACCCCAAAATTCCAATTCTTCCTCAAACAGCGGACCGCACACATCTGTGGGATAGTGCAGCTTACCAGTTCTGTAAAGGATCCATAAAATTACTAACTTTATGCCACATGCATATTAAAATTGTTACCTGTAATAGTTGAGCACTTGTGCGAATACGCCCGGATGCCGATCGAAGAAGTATTCGTTCAGTATGGGATCATAGTTGGCCAGCGCCTCGGTCAGACGGGACAGACGCGTCGCTGGTATCTTCTTCAGTGTGGCCTTATATGTCTCATGCCTAATGCCGCCCACATTGAGCACGACGCGATTCTCCGAGTCCATGTTGATCAGATTCATGGCTGCATGCGCATAGTGATGCATATTTTTAGGTATATAAGTCATGATCACAGTGTAAATACGATCGCAAAGCAAATTTGATCAGTTGTAATTGTTTTGTATCTATGTGCTGTTTGTGGCTAAATTCTACGGATTTGATTTCGTGTCTGGATGGATTTGTGTTGGCCGCAAACCTGAATGTTTCTCGTATTCCTTGCCCGCGATTATGTTTGCAGATGTCGCGTGTCCAGCTCACACACACACTCGCTCTCCAGCCGGAGCCACGCCCACTGATGTCACGCCCACTCTTCCACTCACTCTGTCACTTGAACGTGCCTGGCGCGTATGCACTTGAAATGGAACTAGATGTTAGCACGCCGAATGCATTTTGGTTGCTCTCCTTTGGCATTGGGGTACTCACTAGGTTGGGGTTTGGTCGGGCAACATTGCGCTGAAAGGATAAGAAAATCAATTACAATAACGAGTACACTCATACGAGTAGATTTTAACCGTTTCAAACCTGGAACAATTATTGAAACCCCTATTCGTATAGTCGAGCATCAGATCAGCGCAAAAAGAATGCTAAACGAATGCATCGATAACCTTGCTCTGTGTCCATTTTATATATACAAAAGTGTGTCTTTAATCAAGAATTGTGTATACAATTCATTAGCATATTCATATTTTATATCACTACAAATGAATCTCACACTTTCACACATCCTCAATTAATTATGGAAAAACAAATGGTTTATTGAACGATTTGTTATGAATACACATATCTCATCTCAGGGTACAACACATGAGAGCTATGCAGATTAAATAATGATTCAACTCTCGCTCTCTATGCGAATTCAAAGAAAGCCCATAACTGATTGATGCTTCCTATTTCCCGAACGATTCGATTTCGAGCATTACGAATCCAGGTAATTTTTCCATTGTATATATACCAAATACATAGAAGAACGCAATAGCAGAAGCAAAATCAAGCACCAAGTATACCAAGTACCACTCGCAATAATATTTGGTTCAATCGAAATGACCCATTAGCAGCTCGTGAAAGGCATCCCACAAAAAAATGTTTTGCTTTTCTAATGACTAAATATAATCGCAGGTAGGTAGGTAGGTTGGCAGAACTCAGATATATAAATATAGGAAAGAATATCATCGATAGCGTCATTAATTTGCCTTGGGCTTGGCGGAGCAGCCGCGAAAAAATCGGTGATTCGTGATTTGCACAAAAGGCAAATATTTGTTCTTAAACAATATTTAGTTTTAACGCTGCATTTGTTTACACGCACACACACACACACACACAGCCGCACGCACCCATTGTATTCACAAATACACTCGCAACGAGAAACACCCACATGCGGTCGTTCCGTCGAAATGTCTCTGCCCTGTCTCTCGAGATAGCCTCTGCTCTCTTCTGTCTGTCTGTCTGCCTGTCTGTCGATTGTCGATTCTCAACTGTCGATTTTCAATGTTCAATGTTTACTTGCAGGCCGGCAACTGGACGGACTGCTCGGAGAGACAGACCGACAGACCGACAGACAGTGGGGCATAATGAAAAACATGAGCTGTATAAACAAAACAAACAATCGAAATACACACGCCGAGGGCAGCCCCCGACAAAATGGACGAGCAACCCATACCAGCCAATATATTTATATATATAAAAGGCATATTAGGGGTATTCCATTTGTGGTTGTGCTGCAGTACTTGGCCATTAATGCTAATGATTATGTTGGCACACTCAGACGACACACTCAAATGTTCAGCCCAAAGCTTGTCAAACTGCTGGCGGCTCGAAATATGATTATATTATTTATGAATATCATATATATATAGCATAAGAACTGCCGGCCATTAAATATCCAATTAATGTAGGTAACCCTCGTGCTGGCTGCTATATTAGGGGCACTCATTTACCCTGCAGGCCACATCATTTATTCACTTTTAATGAGCATGGGAGAACTTCAAAAAGCTCGTCGCGTACACATATTTAAAATGAGTTTTCTGTTTTTGTTGCCCGCTTGTTTGCCTTTTTATACCCAAAATTTCCTAGCTTAAGCACACAAACACACACACGCACACGCATTTAAAACACACCCACTACATGCACATAGCCACATCCTGTTGGCAGCACACGCACAGGGCTTGGGGCAAGCAGCAGGGCGGCTGGGTGGCAGTAGGTCAGGAGTGCTGCAAGTAGCGTGTAGTAAGTGCGGCTCTGCCTCTAAATGCTGCTGTTTTTCTTCATTCTTTTTTTTTCTACTCTCTTTTTTGTTGTGGTATGAAGTCGTTGCTGCCTTCTGTTAACTTGGAGTGTACATTTCACACACACACAGCTTAGCGCTCCGTGTGTGTGTGTGTGTGTGTGTGTATGGGAACAGGCGCACGCATCGATTTTTCCGTTTGGTGTAGCACGAAAAACTTCCTGATTGTTTTGTTGCGCGTTGACTTTAAAATGAAGCGACTTTTTATGCCCATCTTGTCATAGATCAAGCTTTACGCATTTTCCACTAGTGTCTACACACATAAGAGACACGCACGTACACACACTCTCAAACACATTCACACACACACATACACACACTAACCATTTTCAATAACCGCTTCTCACCTATTTGCTGGACTTTTGGTTGTTGTGCGCGCTGCCAATAAACATAATCGCTGAGTAGTTATCGTGTATTACTGTGCGTGTGTATATTGTGTCAAATGAAAGGATTGCAATAAAAAAAAAACAAAACCAAAATAAGGGGAAAAAACAACTTAAAGCCTAGAACTACACTACACTTTTGTGCCGTTTAACGTGCCCCGTCTCGACGTTGCTTCACGTTTTGCTCGGCTCTCGTCTGTTATTTTTATTTTATTTTTTCGGTTCAGCGCGTTCCGAACGATCCGATGCGATACAACAAACTGAAACCCGAAATACAAATCTGATGGAATTTGCTGATTCCCTTTATCTGTTCTCCGTGCTCTTCGAGTTTGCTGTGGTGCATGCGCCCTGCCCTTCTCGCTCAATTCTCTTTTGTGATGACGTTCCACGTGGCGGCAAATGCAACGCTGCGTATACGCGATTTTTGTGAATAGACACTTTTAAAAGCATGCTATATTTGTAGAATAAGTGACTTTTAAATTTTTTTATATAAAAGAAAAATAAAACAACTATAAATTTTACGCCGATGATAAAATACTTGTAAGCATAAGGCATTAAACTGGTTCTATTGAAATAACTTATTTCCGACCGATATGTGTCGTATAGGAGCCATATAATAATAATAGTAGGTTTTGCAAAAATGTGAGGATAATCTTTAAGATCATCATTGCTAAGCTTGGCGAAGATATATGGAACAAAACTTAAAATCAAAACTGATATTTTGATACGACTTTTTTCATACTGATGAAGTATATATATAATTATTAGGTTGGATATCTCTCTATTCATTACACATTTCGTGACAAAATATCCGTCGACAAGGGAATAATAAGGAGCATAACAGCTTTACAAACGCTGTTGCACTCTGCGTATACGTGATTTCGAACATATGAATATATAATATGATTAAAGTTTAATATATTTACCATTACATATACATATTTATTCTTTAATAATAAAAAAAAATTGTGCTTGCTTTTTGCCCGTATACTTGAGAAACTTTTAAGTTTACAAGTCATTTCTATTATTTGGACTGCGCGTGGGCAACTTGTGGTAACATTGTGGGATATTCAGCTTTTTGGTTCCTTTAATTTCCTTATATATATGTAAGCTCTCATATATTTTGTATTTATAAATTAGAAGTTTGGATTCTCTTTTCGATCTATGAGTTGTATTTTAGCATTTTTGAATCAAATATGTTTTTTGAAATATTTAAAATAAAACTATATTTTAACGAATATATTTCTCGTTTTTATAGATTAGGATTTTCTTCGATAGTGTTATTAAATTGCAAGCTTCAAAAAACCTTTATGCAATTCTTGCTGCATTGCTTTTTCATAACTGAAGAAAACTATTAATAAGTTATATTCTGACTTTTAGATTCATCTCTTTACAACATTTAAGAGAAACCAAAAGAATTGTTCTCAAATTAGGCGAGGCAACGCATTTATCATCAAAAGTAAAATTCACAAGAACTAGTCAAATATTATCAAGCAATTCTTAATGACCCGGGAACTCTTTTTTCAAATTCTTAGAACTATCTATGCAATATTTACCTGCACATTTATTTGTTTTCGGAGCTCATGGTAATTGTATCCAACATTTTGATCTGATTTTTCAGCTTAAAGAGATTGTACATATTTAATTGTTCGATATCTTAAGGCGATTTACTATTAAAATTAATTGCATTTAATAATTCCGCAGTTACTTCAAAGTTTACCAAATGTAACTCGAAATACGAATTATTTTATCATTTATTTTATTGTAAATCAATTTTTCGCAGTTGCATTCAATAAAAGATATTTGAAAATGTAAAAATTGGAATATAGAGTGGACTGTAATAACAAGCGTTAATCAGTGCATAGAAAAACAAAAACAATTTGATACCGTAGGAAAAAGATTTCAGTAGGCAACTTAGAAAAACAATTAAAATTTACTAGAAAATGCAAATGTAAATTGGCTAGACGAGAAAATGAGTACGTGTGTGTGTGTGTGTGTGTGTTTTCATGTATGTGTGTTCGCAATATTTATGTAATTGGAGAGTTTCCATTGAGAACAGACTGATCCACAGAAAATATATAAATAAACATCTTTCAATCAGCTGTCTCGGATTGCGGTTAATGTGTTAAGCTAAAGCTATGCAAAGTTCAGGCCTGCTGCTCCTCGCTGCCCGATGCGGAGGTGTGCCAGACGTGGCCCATTTCGAGTGCCTGCAATTTGAGCATCTCCTTTTGGCTGTCCTTTGCCTGCAACAAGAAAACGCTTTGCTGCAAGTGAAGAGAAACAATCATTAAGGTATGGATTTTTATATATATAATATAAGTACTCACCTTGACCTCCTTGGTGGTTAGGACATCCATTTTGTCATAAATAATGGCATGCAGACCCAATTCCTTAAGCAGCTTGATGGTGTCTTTGGAATTGTTGTCATCGCCCCAGCAGAAAAGCACGAGGCCACGCTCCTTAGCCAGATTTACCTAAAACGCCCGTTTAGGTAAAAGTCCAACAAAGGCCAAAGCTTCAGTTTACCTGGCTGGGATCTCGCAACAAGTCCTCCGTGTGCGCCACAATGCCTAACAGCTGCATGGCAACAGCATGCCACACGGCCGTCTCCATGGAATTACCTCGCGGGTCCATATACTTCTCGTACTTGGAGGTGTGTCCAAGCGTTAGGAACATGACCGGATAACGATTCTGCTTGTAGCGCAACATGGTGCATATGTCTGGATCAAAACAGCTGAATACAATCCGACGGCTGGCCGCTTTGCGCAGCACCACATCCAGAATGCAATCGATGTAAAGATTGCGATCGACCACATGCTCAAACTCCTCCTCCATGCGACCGTCTTGCAGACGCTGCGACCACTTGATTTCTATATTAAATCCTATATGCTCATCTAACGCATCTAGCACATCCGCCAACTGCGGGAACGGCTGATGCTCCAGCTGATCCTCGTTTTGAAAGGATCGCGTCTCACGTGACAGCCCTTCGGCCGTATGATAGACTTTCAATTTCCTTAGCTGCTCCAGCGTCAATTCGCGCATGGGCAGCGACAGAAAGTCATGCTCCTGCATGCTGCACTTGCTCTTCAGCGATACATATATCATAAAATCATGATATACAACCGGCACAAGATCCTTGCTAAGTTGCACATCGAACTCCACCATGTCGGCGCCATGTTCGGCGGCATTCTTTAGCGATGTGATTGTGTTCTCCCGGATAACTGCATCCTTGGCCTAGAATTATGATCATTTAATAGCTATTTTGGGCACTTTAGGTTTTGATAAAATTTTAAATGACGTTTTTGAACACTTCCAAAAATAAACAATATATATACCAAATCCAGGTGATGACATTTAAATGCAATTAATTAATAATCCAAATACTATAATATAACCCGTAAACTGGAGGCTTGCAACTAAATGCAATATCATTTTGGAACTCTCTCATTCTCAACTAATTGAAATATATTCTCCGTTCAATTTTTGCCAAGGCAAACATGTTTGTCTAGAACATGCGATTGTGGATTATTATCGCATTGAATAATATTTTTCTACAACTATTTATATAATAAACAAATTAACACAACTCTTATCTGTTATCTATATGTTAACTGTCTAGCGCTTGTGAAGAAATATGGAATGACTTTTCTGACCAAGTTAGAAAGTGAAAAATCGGATTTGTTTATCTGATGGTGTAGTGGAGACTATATCTCCTAGTGTGTTGAAGAGTATACATATGCTTATCGATTGCTAATGACTTGAGTCGATTATAAACATGGTCTGAATTTTCAGAACTGATTTGTTTAATTTAATGCTCCAGCCCGCATCTTCCGAATCGTCTGAATGAACTGCAAACTGCTAAGTAGAATAATCTGTGCAAAATACCTTAAGTTCATCATATTGTACATATAGCTGTGTATGTATGTATGTATGTATGTACGTATATCATCAGAACGACACAAAACGGACAATTAAAGGATTCTTCATATATAAATCTATAAAATTGATATTTTTGGAAGAGTTGACAGAAGTAAGAATAAATCGATATTAATAAATTTAACAAAATCATACATTTATACTCATTTATGATAAACTTACCTTAAAGCTGGTGCCGGAGCCGCGATGCCCCACGTCCAGGCCGGTCCACTTATTGTTCCAATAGCGAGCATAGCTCACGCGCATGTCCATGTGGGCGCTGTGAGAGGAAGGTCGGACTATCAGATAGCCCAGCCGCATCATGCCCAGCGGACGATGGCCCTTGGCGCAGGTAATGGGTAGCTCAAGATTGCCCTCGGAGCGCTTAAACAAATTGGGCAATACATAATGATAGCCCAAGTGCAACGGCGGGCCATCTTCTCTTGCCACTTTCGAGCTATAACTGTACAAATCAACCAGATAAGCCGTATTCTCCAGATCGGAAACGGTCAGATGAAAGATAACCAAGTCGCTGGCCGTGCAAGCTACACCAAATTGCTCCTGAATGCGCAGTTCGCACTCATTTGCGCTCAGGGTGACCACCTCGCTGAAGGCAAAGGCTGTGCTGTCGTTGCCATTTTCACGAGTGTCGTGCGTGTCATTCGATAGCGAATCCTCGAGCGATGACCCGGGCGCCACCTCAGCACAGCCGTTGACGGGTATGCGCAAATTCATGGGCGTCACCTTGACGTGCACCAGACGTCGTTTCATGCGCTGTTTCCAGGTGAAGGGCGCATAAAAGAACTTTAGCTGCACCAGCGATTCTTTGGTCAGCCAGCCGCGATCCACTTTGTGCATGCCATTGACATAGCCAAACGTGTCCTGGCACTCTGTCGGCTGCTCATCTATCTCCTCAATGCACCTCGGTTGCAGCTGCACCTCCCAGCGACGCACCAATAGCTGCTCCGATGCGGCATCCACGCCGCAGACCATATAACGATACTTTGTGTCACAATGCTGTGGTATATACACCTGAGCCGTCCACACGTGGCCCTCGTCTTCCTCCTCCTGCGACTCCTGTCGGCTCATTAAAGCCGCTCCGCTATGCTCCCAATTGCCCAGCGCCTCACAACTGCCCACAATCGCCAGCTGCTCGCACGCGGAGATCTCCTCGTTCATCAACACACGAAATGTCCAGAGTCGATTGGCGCTGATGTCGCCGTGGATGCGTTGGGCGGAAGGCAAGGCGGCCGCAACTGCAGCTGCCGCTGGGCAGACAGAGGGTGCGGCCATTGCATCCTCCTCACAGTCATGAGCAGCCAGCCAGCGTTCCATTTTCAATAACAATCACTTAATAATCCAATGATTACAAAAAAACTTTCACCTCAGCAGCAAATTTCCGATTGTCGTTTGTGTTGTTGTTGTTGGTCGAGGCGAGGACAGGGCAAAGTTCTCTGCTGCCTGCTGCTCTGTTTCTTTTGTTGTTGTTGATGACGTCAAAGTTCCAAGCACATTTTGACTTGAAATTCGATGCGGAAAATTGCACACACAAAGAAGTCAAAAACACAGACGAAGACTCCAGCAGATTATCCGCTATCGAGCTGGACTTGTTGTTGTTACTGTGGCTGCTGCTGCTATCAACGAGCAACTGTTTTTCTTTTATATTATGAACGCATGTCGGCCTTTGAGATATTGTCTTCTACAATACACTTAATTATGTTTAATTTACTTGTGGATATATCAACTTTATCGCGAATTAGCGTTCTTAACGCTGAAACTGTGACTGAGAGTTTGCATTGTAAAAAAACTTGGAGCTGGGCGCACATGGGTAAATGTATTAAGGTAACGCTGTTGACATGCGCCGTGCTGTGTTGTCAACCAAATCAAATGACGTCACAGGTAGACATATATAGCCTAATAATTCCAATTAATAAACTAGTACAATAGTTTACAAGCTGGAAATCCTTATAAACTCGTTTTTAACATAAACTACAATTTCTGTGTTCTTCATATATGTGTATATCATGCAATCACAATTTAATGATGTCACAGCCGTACAGTCAACCACTCATGCACCACCTTTCACATGTCTTGGCCCACACGCTGCCATTTTGAGCAGCGTTGCCAGACTGTGGCTGATGTTTCATAGCAAACAGCTTTAAACAGCTGTATTATTAATTTGGCGGGAACCTTGCGCACTTGTTTATTGTTTATTATTTGCGGTTTGCTGTTTTTTGTCAATCTCAAAATGGATCAATATCCTGATGAGAATGAAGAGTTCGAGCTGCAGTACCAGGATGAAATGGAATTGCTCGAGGACTTGCCGCACGAGTTCGACGCCTTTAATGATGGACCCAGCACATCGCATCAGGCTGCAGCTGCACTCGAGCAACAACAAAAGCAAGGAGCAAATGCACCCACTGCTGCTGCTGCAATCAAGGATGTCTCACGCTTAAGCAATACCACTCTGAGCTCCCCGCAGCTATCGCAGATTACATTCGGTGCCACTCAAACTGATGCCGGCGGTGGCGGAAATGTGAATCGACGTCTCTTTGGCACGCCCAGAGGCCCGACAGTGGGGCGCGGCTGCTCTACGCCCCTGCAGCGCATGCCGGCCATAGAGGAGGTAGCAAATGTCTCTGTAGACAACGGAGCACCGTTGCCGAACGCCGCCGCAGAACAGCTACACGAATTGGGGCTGCGCGGCACCAACAAGCGGCGACTGGAACGCGATCTCTTTGGCGACATTGACGATCTGTATCACGAAAGCTATGAGGATCCCATGGTAAAGAAGGCGCGCACCGAGGAGCAACGCGATAACGAAGCCATTGAACGTATACTGGAGCTGAGGCGCAAGCTGCGGGAAACCAGCAAAACTGTGCGCCATGATGATGTATCACGTCTGAGGGCGCTGCACGACTTCAAAATGAAGAACCTCTCATATGAAATTCCCTCCTGGCCATTCCTGGCGCTGCAACGCAGCGATTTGGAGCGCCTTTACGTCCGTTTTCACTCGGAGGACTATGAGCGGCGGCAGCTAGAGCTACTCAGCGCGCGAGGCAATCTAATAGACAGTCTACTGGGCGAGGCCAAGCAGCAGGTGTGGCAGGAAGCCAACGAGCTGGTGAGTTTAGCGTATAATGCTGACAAATATTATTCTAATAGTCTGCCATTTCAGGTGCTACGACGATTGGCACCCGCCACGCAGCCTGTCAACGCCGCGCCAGCCCCATCTAGTCCAGATATGGGACGCCTTTGGGTGGACAAGTACAAGCCGCGTAAATACATTGATCTGCTCTCGGATGAGATGACCAATCGCAGTCTGCTCTACTGGCTTAAAATGTGGGACAAGGTGGTCTTTGGCAAGGTCTTTCACAGCAAGCAGGAACAGCAGGCAGCCAACACTGGAGCATCGGGCGCCCACCAGTTAAATAGCTTCAACAAACGCACTGGAAAATTTGAATCCAATGGCGGCTGGCGACAGCGCAAGGCGCGTCAAGCGCTGAACACCAATGTGGATGAACTGGGTAGGCCCATGCAAAAGGTGGCGCTGCTCTGCGGTCCACCTGGTCTGGGCAAGACGACGCTGGCGCATACAATTGCCCGTCATGCAGGGTACAATGTGCGCGAGATCAATGCCTCGGATGATCGCAGTCCGGAGGCCTTTAAGCTGGCACTGGAGAATGGCACACAGATGTCATCGGTGCTCAATCAGGATAAACGACCCAATTGCATTGTGCTGGGTAAGCGGGCGCAGGAATTTTAAAAATACTCTTTAGACTTGTAACCTTTTCCTGATCCTTTGCAGATGAAATTGATGGCGCACCGCGTCAATCCATCGAGTATCTGGTGAAATTTGTTAGCGATGGCATATTTAGCAAGGTCAAGGCCAAGGGCGCCAAGGCGGAGCACAATGTGCTGCGTCGTCCCATCATCTGCATCTGCAACGACATTTACGATCCCGCGCTGCGACCCTTGCGCCAAATTGCGTTTGTGGTCAACTTTCCGCCCATCGATTCAGCGCGTCTGGCCGAGCGGTAAGCTGCAAAAGTGGTTGTGGCTGCAGTTGGTTGGTTTGATTAATATGATTTGTATATCTTAGGCTGGTGCAAATTGCCAAAAAAGAGCACTTGAAAACAGACTTCGGCTCGCTTATTGCATTGGCTGAGAAATCGGGCAACGATGTGCGCAGTTGCATCTCATCTATGCAGTTCTTCAAGTAAGTTAAGTTATAAAACTTATCATAAGATTAATAGGATTCAAGAATTTATATATATCTGTCAACTATCCATCAATATAGGTGGATCCTCTTAGTTTTAAACAGCCTAAACGATTCTTGGCTAATCATAGTCTCATGCGATTTATGCATATTTAAGATAAAAGAAACTTTTTGTTTGCTATTTAAATTTTTATATTTTAAGCATTTTTGTATTTTTTATTAACTATTTTTTGTTTGCTTTACAGCGTACAAAAGCACAGTCTTACGCTCCAGGATGTGCTTAACAATAATCTGGGTCAAAAGGATCGCCATCAGGGCCTGTTTGATGTGTGGGGTGCTGTGTTTAGGGTGAGTTTCAAATTGACTTCACAAAGTTAAGTTATTCTCATGTTCATGCGAATAATCTATGACCCTGTTTCAAATCATTTTTATTATATATTATTAGTAGCCCATATTTAAAATCTAAAAAGCAGAACTCAAACAAATTTAAAGCTTCATTTAAATAAGTTTAGACTAAAGCCTATTTCACTTTCCCGATAAATAAAAACCTTTTAAGCTCCTTTTGGATCAGACCAACTCTATGATACACACATCCTTACAAATTGATATATATACAACATGTTACATGAAATGTTTCCTTCTTCACAGATACAACGGCCAAAGAAACAGCTACAGCAAAGCAGCTCGAACAATGCCGAGGAGCGTGTCCAGGTGACCATGACGAACATGTCTGTGGCGACGCGAGTGCGCAATGTGCTCGACGTGGTGCATTCCAGCGGAGATTACGAGCGGTAGGCGGGCTTATATTCTATGAAAAAAACTGAAAACTCAAACTAAAACTATTTCTGCAGGCTCACCCAAGGCGTCTATGAGAACTATTTGCAGCAAAAGATGCCGGATCCGAATTTTACGGGCATCTGTGAGGCTCTTCAATGGTTCTGCTTCTCGGATACGGTGCAGCATCAAATCTCACGGCAGCAGAACTATAGCATCTATCCATATTTACAGTACGGCTTTGTGGTCTGGCATTTGCTCTTTGCCACACTGGCCTGGCCGAAAATTGCATTTCCCACGCGTGGCTTTGAGGTAAGCAAACGACGTCGTCGTCGACGGCAACGTTAGCTGCGGGTCGCATCATTTCTTTTCATTTAGCATGTAAGCAGTGTAGGTTCTTTTGAGCCAGCCTCATGTATTATGCAATCCTCATTAGCTGGGGCAAACAGTCCTGGCGAGGGCCACAGAAAAGTGCATAATCAACACAATCAAGCCTTGTAATTTCTTGTGCATTATGTGCCTCAAATGCAATCACAAGATTAATGAGAGTTCTGCATAGATTTGCCACTGTTTACACTAACCCAACCCCCATTCTCTGTCTCTCGTTTTCTCATTCTCTGCCACTCTTCCATTTTTTATTCACAGTTCAATCAGAAGTGGACGAACCAGCGCAACATCTTTCTGTCGCTGCGCAAAGGTGTCACCACATCGGCGCAGGGCGTGGGTCAGGGCAACACTCTGCTACTAGACACGGTGCCGCTGCTGAAGCGGATTTTATCGCCACAGTTGCGTTCGGTGGCTGTTCAACTGCTATCACAAAAGTGAGTGTTTTATAAAAAAGTTTGAGAGTGGGTGGGAAATACCAAGGCAGTTCAAACGGGCTAGGCAGATTGGTATCGATTACTGACATTAAGACTTACACGCAAAGAAGGGATTCTAGTTTTAAGTTTAAAAACTTTGGCAAGAATATTATTTGTTTGTTGACGGTAGAGATTGTGGGACACTGAACAGAAAAGACGCTCGCTAAATGGAAGCCCACTTGAAAAGCTTGCTGTAGCCAATTCATATGTATTTTAGAGTCAGTCGACTCTGATCCCTAATATAATCCCTATAATGACATGAGCTGCCAAAAATGTTTAATAGACTTACCAAATTCGATGCTTAATATGCGTATTATTTCATAGATACTTCAACGGAATTCGACTTCAGTTCATCAGCTATGTAGTCAAGATTAGATTATAATAATTTTAATAATCCACTAATTAAATCTTCAACTATATAAATCATTTTTTCTTACAGGGAGCAATATGATCTGCGGCACACAATTCAAGTAATGGTTGATCTTGGCGTTACCTTTGTGCAAGTCAAATCGGCGGAGGGTCATTATGTTTTTCAAACCGAACCGGACTTGGATACGCTCTGTGCATTTCCAGGTAGGTTCAATGCTCAGCCGACTAAGCAATACCAACATTATCAATTAATAAAAAATGATCTATATGTTATAGGATTTACCGGTCTGACGCTGCCCTATTTCAGTCGCCAGCTGATTGCACGCGAGGTCGATCTGGAGCGCATACGTCGCGCCGCGCCCAAAGGTGACCAGGCGGATGCAACAAAGAGCTCCGCAGCCGCTCCAGTGGATGCTACAAAGCAGAAGCCAGTCGCTGCGCGTCTGCCGAATCATTTGCAAACATTGAAGCCAAAACAAATAACCGACTTCAATGCGCCAAAGCAGCAGGTGAATTGCGGCTCTTTCCATATTTCTATCAATTTGCATGCCTTGCATTTACTTAGCAGCAATTTTGTTGCAAATTTTTGTGGCGCAGCTTATTGAAATTTAGCTATGTCAGGAACTGCCCCTCCCATTCAACAGCCGTCTCCGAGCAGGCTTTAGTTTCTGCGATATTCTTGCTTCTGCGGCAAATCCTGTAAAAGCTAATAACCCATAAGGGGATTCGCTGCCCATTGTCTTCGGGGTCGTAATGTGGGATCAGCGCAAACGAACATTTATTGCCAATCCTAAGCGAAAGCGACTGCCACAAAACAACAACAACAAGGGTCCTTTTCATTGGGGGTTGTGCATTTGTTCAGGGGTTGCTTTTGCTAGTCTTTTCATTCCTCTCACTTCATACAAGGCTTTTTTTTATATTATTATGTGCTAAATTGTAGCAAATTTTATTGTATGTTCCTATTTTTTGCCACTTAATAAATAAATTATTAAATTCTAATTTAAAAATTTGTCTTCAGCTTACCAAAGACTTTTTTGGACGAGTTACCCATAAAACATCAGCAGCGTCTGCGGCGGAGGAGGGTAAGATAATGGCTTTGAAAAGCAAAACATATTTTAAAATAATTTTAAAATAATTATTTAACAGTCAAAACAGATGCAATTGTCAAAAGCCCAATATGGTATCGCTATAAGGAGGGCTTCAACAATGCTGTCCGTAAGGATGTGCATCTAAACGAGCTGCTTTAAGAGAACATCCATTACCTATATGTTGTTATTATAATAAAAAATATTTATTACTAGCTGGTATTCACCGAAAAAAGGCGTTTTTCTTACTATTTTAATCTTCCGAAATCCACTCATTTTTCACCCTTGTGGGTGAATTTACCATGATCATTGAAATACTCATAATTTCTACCATAAAGTCGATCGACCAATTGTCAGAAATTAAAATTTCACTACTGAAACCTTTTCTTCAAATACTTTTCATCTTATTTGCAAGGCGTAATGAGTGTATTTGTCCGTCTTTCCAAATGCAACATAATCTTCAAATATTTTCCATACAGTGAAATCTGACGATCTTTTAAGATAACCCAGCATCGCGAAAATCTATATAAAAAATGTTCACTATTTAATTTGGATCTGCAATAATTCTGATATCACGAATATTTTTGACAAGAAATAGTTAAACTAAACGGAACAGATCATTCTTTATTCCGATTGTAATACAAAAATGCACTTCTATCTCTCAAAAATGCTCCAATTGTTCTCATTTCACTAGCTATCGCTGGTTACGCTATATAGCTATGGAGATCTTGTGGCCTACAATCCGAACTCATGGGCGCCCCTTTGGCATATAACTGAGGCATGGCTCCACGCTGCTTATCGCAACCCGTGGGGCTATCGGCAGCTGAGTGTGTATGTGTGTGCGAGTGTGTGTGAGGTGTTGCCGCTGCCAACTTTGATGTCGGTCTGGCCTCACTCAGTCACTCAGTTGTCCGGCGGGTGGTGCTGTGCTATATACATACTATCAGCCAGATGTCACCGCTGAAGCCGTTCTTGCTGCTGCTGCTGCTCGGGTGGCTCGGATGCGGCCACATTGAGGCACGCTATGTGCACGGCATACCAAGTGAGCGGGTGAGGTGCCTCCGCCATGACCAGCCGCTAATTGTCACGTTTGATTTCGATAGATATTTGCATGAAGCCACCGCCGTTCTCCGAGGGTATGTGCACCATTGAGATCGAGGGATTCTATTATGATCCGGCCACGCTCGACTGCCGGATGTACTCGATTGGCGCATGCCGGCTGACGCCCGGCCAAAGCTTTGGCAGCCACCAAGACTGCATCGCGACCTGTGTGCGGGGCCAGCGTCGCAGTCGCGATTACTATAAGAATGAATGAGGCGTCTCTCAATAAATAAACAGATCTGTGTGTCTACTATAACAACAAACTGCGTCTGATTTAAATCCAGTGCTCCAGTGTTAATCACCGCCCTGACCCGTGACGTAATTGTTTATTTCCAATGAGAATCTGAAACGTATCTGAAACGTGTTTGACTTTGTCTTCTTGTGGCATGTTCCAAGTCGCAGCCTAATTAATTACTTTACTTAGTTGAGCATCAAGTAGTGCTTGCGTCAGCTATTTATACACTTAATCGAGGGGTATTATAGTTAAAGCGTTTAAGTTTGTTCACCTTGTCACAGTATTGGAAAATACTCTAAAGATGGAGTTTAGTTGCCCCAAAATATTCATATTTTCGATCAATATATTATATTGGCTTTTAGAAAGAGGAGTTCATGTAAGTATTAACGGAATCAAATTTTAGTATTTGGTATTTTCAGCGGCGCTTCATAAGCTTTAAAAAGTTAAGATTTAAAAATATGATCATTCTGATATGTTAAAACAAAATTTCAAAAACCTAACAACTTTTTTGTTTTTGAATTACCAATTCAAAACTAAGAAAAGCCTCTGTGTAATATATTTTATTTTAAGTTTAAGCTGAGTTTTTTTACATTTACATTAACTTTAGATATTGCAACAATTTGAAATAGTTAATTAATTTAAAATTGGTAAGACTGACAGAAGTATTTGAAATATTATGGAATATACCCCATAAAACTGTTTGATCTGACTAACTGATCGTCGGGTCAAATCGAAAAAAACTAGTCCAAAATTTACACAATTTTTGTTTTATCAGATGAACAGAAGTGGATTCTATCACGGGGTTTTGGACATTTCCACCCACAAGTGTGGAAAATGAGTGGAAAAAACTTGTATCCTCACAATCCGATTGAACGAAGAGTAATTTTAATGCTAAATTATATGTGACGAGCTTTTTAAGAAATATAACAATGCCAAGATGTTGTTGTGGAGGTAAGTGTAGACAGGGTATACAAATGTCGTTGTTTGACAGCTGGTTTGATTGGAGCCCTGGCTCGTGGGCCGGCCTTCTGCAACAGGCGCTCGCCGGTTTCAGCCGGAACCACAACCCCCAAGCAGCGTTCCTCAGGCATGCGGCAGATCAGCTTGTCAGCACCATGCATATTATCAACATCGCACATGCAGGCTACGAGACGTCTTAGTTGTTGTTGTTGTTGTTGTTGTTGCTCTTATCAGTCAACGGCAGCGTCAGCAGCGGCTATTGGCAGAGCGCAACCTGATTACAAATCCGTTTGCCTTTTGTTCGAGGTTTCGAGTCGAGTCTGCGACAGCTCAAACAGCAGAGTAACAGCTTGGGCAGTGATCAAAAGTGTCGCAACACTCATTTACAATAATTGTGAATACACAGAGTATTCATTTGTGATCTGTCGCATAGGTGACCGGAACAAGTCGTATAGAGAAGAATATATTAATCTGTCAAGTGTGCCAAAAGAATTTTGTGGAATTTTTGGCTTGCTTGGCTACTGTACTGTGCTGAACTTGTGTGTCGAGTATTAAAAAACTCATAAATTGAAAAAGAAGACGCGAAAGACATATCAACAGATCGGTATACTATATAGCCCAACGGCTACGGTTAGCATCGACATCTCATATTCCATATTTCAATTATAATTACCCCATATATATGGCGGGAAGCAGCTGGCATTGCTGCGCATTTGTCTTCAACTTCGTCGCAGCGACAGTCGACAGCGATTCTATGGAAATACTGATGATATCTTTGCCAGCCACAATACAGAGCTGAATTTGCCAGGAGCCAAAAACAAAAACAATATCAAACTAACTAAAATAGGATTCGAATTCCTGTGCCAAACAACTTAACATAGTATTTGCAAAATGAGTGCCCAGATTCGGAGTAGACAAATCTCGCTGTCTCTGCTGCTGCTGCTGGCCCTGTGCCTGGACTGGCAAATGGTTTTGGCACGCACACGTAAGTCTCCCGAGTTTGCGTTAATATATATTTTTTTGTGGTCAACTAAAGTGCCTCCTCTCAGGTGATCTGTGCCAGGTGAAGCCCAGCACGAGCAGCCTCTGTGTGCCGACCACACTGGGCATCTACTACGATGAGGAGACGCAGCACTGCCACTACATGGGCTGCAGCAATAAGCGACTCTTTGGCTCGCTTGAGGATTGCGAGAAGATATGCAACAATGCGCGACACGTCAAGCGGCGCAACAACGTGGCCAGCAGCAAAACCAATCAAACCACTAATTGAATATAAGCACTTACAATAGTCGTACAATAGTCGCAGTTGTTATTCACGTCTTTCATCATACATGCATCATTCACTTGTACATCAGCTTAAATATCACGACAGCTTAACTCGCACTCGGCGCGACTGTCAAAACGATTCTCGTTGCCACCGCAGCCGCCATAGATGAAGGCCTCGCAGCGGCGCTCGAGCGGATTGTAGGCATAGCTCTCCACATGGCCGAAGCAGCGACCGCTGACCATTGGCTGCAGGCACATCTTAACTGCAACATGGGCGCATTTGAATTGCGTGATGTCACACTGACAGACACAGACTTACCACGTTTGGAGGCGCCATTGACCTGACCCAGCAGCAGCAGCAGTTGGAACAGCATGAGATGAAGTAACAGCCATTGCCAAGGCATTTCGCTGAGTTCCGTACAACCGCCTCGTTCTTTGGCCAACAGCTCACTAAACGCTAAGTCAATTGTTTGTTGTTTTTCAAATGTTTCTTTTTTTTTTTGCTTAGCCAAGATTCAACATTGACCAATTTAAATGAAAAGTGCTGAAAATATCGGCCATATCGACAGTTAGCTCACCTACTTCATTCAGACTGTACTTTTTTGAAACTTTGCAAACCTTGTTTGCTGTAGCTTTAGCTTAGATCATCTATTTATTTTAAATACTAACGATAAGATTAGATTTAATAATGCTGAGATTTAATAAATTTAGTCCATTTAATTAGAAAGTAAGTTTTCTTTTGTGACAATGCGCATATACGAATACATAATATTAAATAAATATATAATGTATATAGCTGGCAATAGATTATAAAAGCGTTTTCATATAACCTCCAATACTTGGTGTGGGAGAGGGAGGCTTGGGGTATATCAACTTTCGTTTTTTTCAAGTCTAAATCGAATGATCTTTTGCGCATTAACCAAAACGTTGTAAACAAAAATTATATTGGGTATGAAAAGGGAGTTACAAGCTTTCAACTTCTTTATTAAAATTAATTTTTGACGAGTTTATGTATTATATCTTTATGTATATTTATGTATATAAATAGCCAATATTATTCCTGTTTTCAGAGTTCTCTGTATAAACAGAAGCATATTAGCTGAAAAGCTCACTAACAACATATTTTTCGATTTGCATTAATTAAAAATTGAGTTCAAAGTTTTATAGAAATAAATATATGTAAATATTGATTTAAATAATATACATATATTGGAATACATCACACGAATACTGTAAGTGTAAACAATAATGTACTTTGTAAAATTCCAAAATCAGATAACATTGTTGACAGTTCTACAATTTTGATTAAAAGATCGTTGAATAAGATACGTTCAGCTTTAGTATTTTTAAATTATTTTGCTGAAACAACTTCAAACGTTGCTTGTAAAATTTCGGATTTTTATTTTAAGGCTCTGATGCCCTACGTTAAGTTCGTTGAAAAATCAAAGTGGTGTAAGCATAATAATATTAAAACTTATAAATAATAAATATTTGTTTAGCTTTTTAAGCTAAGATAAGAATGTAAGTACAGAAATATTATTTAGCCTATGTTGCCTATCCATAGGCCTTACTATTTAATCGATACCCTATACTAAAAGGGCTGCAGCGTATGAATTTCATTATAAAAAACTTTTCAAAACTTTTTAAATATCTCCAAAATATATTTTTAAAATTTTCTAAGTTTTATATATCTAAAAAATGTCTAAGGCAGATATTTTTAATGTCGGTATTTTAGGATTCACTTTTTCACAAATACCCTACAAGTAAAAATTCAACATGATTTGATTCAACATGAGCATGAAATAATTTTCGGTAATTGTTAACTAGTTATTAACTTGCATTTGCTTTACTCATTGGCTTGCATTTTCCACAAATACCCTACATTTTTTATTAGCTTCTTATTGAAATTAAATATATGAAAAGTGAAGTTATCTATGTAGGCCTAACTTTCCCACCGATACCCTACACTCATAACACTTATAAGAAACGGCGCCGGCGCTCACATGAAATGACGTAAAACTTTGCAGTGGCAACAAAAACATGTTCCGCATATCAATGACAACATCGACAGCAGCAGCAGCGACAACAGCTTCAGATACAGATACAACAAATTGAAGTTGATTTTCAATACATGTGCAAAAATAGAGCCAGTGGAGTAGAGCTGGGCACCAGCAAGTGGGCATTCGATTTAGAGCTGTAGTTGTTTACGCACTGCCTCATGCATATGCTAATTGAGGTACAGATACAGATACATATACACAGATACAGATACAGATACACTGGGGACTTAGCTATTCAGTTAAGGCGCACAGGCATCTATGAGTGAGTTAATTGAATGAAGTAATGAATGCTGAGTCTATACACTTGCATGTCGAGCCGAGACGAGTCGGTTCTCAGTTGCAACTTCTCAATTTGGGGCTGTGCCTAATTTAGTAATTAAACGCAGTTTTGGATGACGAGCGGCACAATTAATGTGTCTCGCCTGGGCAGCATTTCAATTATTTCAAGCAAATTAAACAGTTAACTGAATTGTCACCACATTACACACACACACACACACACACAGAGAGAGAGGCATACACATCATTTCGGCCATTCAATCAGCCAAATTTGCGTGCCACCCACGACCCATGTATCTGCGTGTTTGTGTGCCGAGTTCAGCTAATGAATAAATAGCACGACTGTTGACTGCACTCCTCATCATCATCATCATCATCATGATTAGCAGCATAGTTAAGTGATAATTCAATTTGCCCTATGCATTAACACCTAACTAACGTTTTTGCCCAACCTTAGCCTGTTAGCCATGCCCACATCAATCAGGCTAATTATTGCTTGGGCTAGACCCAACTGGTCTGCGACCTGTCCCAACTGCAAATGCAATTTTAATGAGCCTCAAGTCTTCGCACTTGCGCTTACTTAAATTTAGTAACTCTTTTTCAGCCACATGAGTTATTTAAAGGCAGATAATTCTTATGCAAATTGTTGCAACACCAGGAAATTATCTTTGCTTGTAAAATATGTCTCTTGTGCATATAGAAATTAATAGTTACTTTTCCTAATAATGTTTATTGCATCATAAAATGTGTAACTTTGTTGACCAACAAATTATGGAAAAATAATTGAATGGATCGGCAAACAATCAGAGCAAAGCTGGCTAATTTTGTAGGTAGTCGGCTAAAGTGATACCCTCTTATCTAATATTTGTATAGATTATAAATAATATCATTAATATATCACATAATAAAACGGGAATGAGTAAAGCAAGTTTCTTTATAGTTAATTTATTTGTAAGCCCCTTTAACCCAAAGTTGAATTTTTAATCAATTCAAAAAATAAGTTGAAATCCAAATCAAATGCAAACTCATCAAATATTGAGATCTGTTTAAACATTGACCTGATAAAGCTCTTATGGTTCTTGAGTTCTTGATAATCGTTCAATATTATTTTCTATTATTCGACATAAATTATTTCGGAATCGAATGTATTCACATATAAGAGAATGAGGCATTAAAATACTGACTTTTGACAAGCTAGCCTAAATATTGTAACAAGCTCTTAGTGAAGGGTATTCAAATGGTTACCTTCATCAGACTGATAGCTTCTGTTGTCTAGCTGTGCCTATATATATATGTTTTTATATTATATAATCTATGTACATATACGTTTGCCTGTGTAAATATTTGTATGTATTTATACATATATAAATCTGATAATTAAGCTCGCTTGTGTTCAACACTTCGTATACGCAATTTGAGTTAAACGCCTCGCTTAACAGCATTGACACACAGATACACACAATCGCACACGCACACCCAGCTCACTTATATGTATTATAATTTTTAAAAAAGCTCGCTAGACAGCTTAGAAAAAAGTAGAAGATTCAGTTGTTGTTTGCAGCTATTAACGCGCAGTTATCGGTGATCACATTGAGAATGAAACGAATGACGAGAATGACCCAATTTCTGTGGCTTGCCGCAATTGTTTTACTCTGCCTTACACAAATGACCCAGGCGGTGACCACGCCCAAGCCCAAGGGGCTGGCACAGGCACCACAGGTGACCGCCACCACCACGACCAGCACCACCTCAAAGCCCAAGCCAAACCAGCAACCACCACAACAACCACAGCGCAAACAAGGTAAGGTCACAAAAAGATATTTGAGTTGCATTTTTAAGTTGCAAGTTTCGATCTTCTCGACAGATGCCAAATGCCTGCAGCCACTGGAAACGGGACCCTGTCGAATGAGCCTGGAGCGCTATTACTACAATAAGGAGACGAATGCCTGCGAGACATTCAAGTATGGCGGCTGTAAAGGCAACGACAATCGTTGGGGCTTTCGACAGACTTGCGAAGAGGCCTGTCTGGTCAAGAAGTAACTTAAGTTCAATTAATCCACAATATTTCCATGGCCATTCTCCAAATAATAGTAAATAAATTATCTATATAAGCGTATAAATTCTCAATATACAGGAATTATATTTGATTAAACAATTTGACTCATATCAAATTTCCAGCTGATCCAATTTATGGTAATCTCGGAAATAAATGTTTTGAACAAATAGTAAATATAAATAGTACTATATATAACCGAATAAATTATATGGCATTTGGGCCAACAAAAAAACAGACAGTGATGTTATGTGTTGGATCGAAAATAATTAAACTGATGCTATCAAGTATAAAAAATAATGTTCCAAAACTTCTACTCACCGCTCATCCTTTATGCCTGTGCCACTTGAAAAATCATCAAAATATGTACGTCTGGCTTTATTTCCTGAGAATCGCTTAGCGGGGCGGAAGTTCAGTTTAAATAGTTAGATCAATAGTTTGTATTCATATGATACTTTCAGTTTGTAGCCACTAATCACATCACAAAAAAAATATCACTTGCATTTTTGAGAATCGCGGAGAAGTGTGGCCGCTAAGTTTAAACACTTGGTACATTACATTTCATTTCCATAGCACCTTAAGTTTGAGGCCACTGTCCAGTCGCCACAAAATAAAAATTACTGAAATTACATCGAAGTGGGCAGGCCCTCCTTGAATTTATGAGAATCGCGGAGAAGGGTGGCCGCTAAGTTTAAATAGATGGCACATCACTTTTCCTGTCCATAGCACTTTTAGTTTGCCGCCACTGTTAGTCAGATCACAAAAAAATCACTTAAATTACATAGAATAGTGTTATTTTCAAATTTTTTATTTGACATTAAAGAACGAACTTATGTCCTTCAGTTATTAATGAGTATAAGCTTAATTTTCTTTTCGCCTTTTTGTTTGTCTCCCTCATTCTTTCTCTTCCTATCTCTTTCTCTCTCTCTCTCTCTTTTTACGACGGTTACTTTGTCTATAATTATCTCTAGCTGTAGTAGTCTCTCTTATTTTCTCATAGTCTTTCTTTTCTTATACTCTCACATGCTTTCTTTGTTCCTCTCTCTCTCCCTCTTGCTACAGCTTTTACATTCTTTCTCTCGCACTCTATTTTCGTAAAGTCTTGCTTTTTAATTTTCCATGCTTCTTTCTAAATTTTTTAAATTCATTTCTTTCTTATCCTTTCTCTTTTTGGTTTTCTAAGAAAATTAGGGTCTCCCTCTCTCAATCTCTGACGCTTCTAATCTCACTCTCTCTCGCTCTCTCTCTCTCTCTTTTATCTCTCTCAAAGTAACTCTTGCACTCCCTCTCTAATTCGCATCCTTTCTTACTCTATCTTTCATTTATTACTCACTCTCTCACCCTTTCCTTTTCTCTCCCTCTATCTCTTTAAGTAAGACTCGCTCTCCCTCTCTCACTATCTCTCTCTTTCTCTCTCTCGCTAATCCCTGTTAGTTCTAAACACAGTCTCTCCCTCTCTTTCTTATATACTTTCCTTTACATATCCATAACGCTCTCCCTAAATCTCTCTCTTTAACGCTCTCATTTTTACTCCTCTCCCTCTTACCGATTCTCCTATTCTCTCTCTCTCTCTCTCCTTTTATAACTCTCGTCTCACTCCTTTGATTGTATTCTTTAAATCTCTCATAGCTCAAGATTTCATATACATAGGGGAATTTTTTAATAAATGATATTGGTTTGGCGATGCTGATCGGCACGCCTTGTTCCGTGACAGTTTTTCAAAGTATCCAAAAAGTTCGTCAAAACAAATTGTGGAACTGCCCACAGCTGTGCGGAAATAAAAAAGCATATGATTTAGCCGTGCTGAACTATCATAACGCTTAGCAATATTAATAGGTGCGTTGAACTGCAACTGAGGCATTGGACGTCTGAAAACTGTCAACGAGACGAGACAAGACGCGACGAGACGAGGTGTCGCGGCTTGTCGCCGTGATTTACATGCCTCGGCGAATGATTCGAGCAAATACAAAATGATAAAAAAAACTACGGATACGTGCGGTCTTGGGCCAGAGTTGACTCACTTCGGGGGGCAGTTTGTTTGACTATTTAAGGCTGGTTAAGTATCAGAGCTGAAGTCATTCGCAGCAAAGAAACCGAAACGAAATGTGCTACAAGTTGTCCCTAATTGCGCTCAGCGTACTGCTTAGCATCGTGTGCGTGCACAGCGCCGCGGTGGATCAGACGCATCTGGTTGTGGAGAAACAGCAGCTGGAGGGCCAGACAACAGCTGACGACGTCGATGCGACCAGTGTGCCGGAGCAATGCCATCAGCCAAAGGAGACGGGTCGCTGTTTTGCGCTCTTCTATCGCTTTGCCTACAATCTGGACACGCATGCCTGCGAAGAGTTCGTATACGGCGGCTGCGCCGGCAACAGCAACAACTTTGAGACCAAAGAGCAGTGCGAGCAGCTCTGCCTGGGCAAATCAGCGCCACCAACCGCAGCTTCCGCGACAGAGCAGAGCACGGAACTGACTGCAGAGCAACAGCAAACGGCAGAGACGACCACGAGCAGCGCCAATCAGCCCGCTTCGGATTAGTGGGAAGAACCCGGACACTGTCTATATACTTAGTACACATAAGTAAAAAAGCTAACACTCACAATTAAATTCATCACGCTCCCACTATACATACCAATATGTGTACAGATTTTATGTATTAACACATATACATTTAAATATACAGCTCCAGGGGCGGACTCTGAAGTAAAGGGCGCCAGTATTAAAGTAAAATATTTCATCTGTACCAAATAATCTTCTTAATTGTAGTCTGAATAACAAGAAAAATCACGTGTTATACTAATAAACATATAGAACGGCTATCTCAAGTACTTTAAGTACGCTAGCAGACAATTTTATACAAAAGCTGTTCCTCTCATATAGTAATCCGAATTGATAATACTTCGCAGATATTCTAGGAGAAGAGTGAAGGTCGTTTTTACTGAGTTTGGACATGAAATCTTGAATATATGACAACTTTATGATATAGTGGTCCAATCCGGAATATTCGACATATTGTAATATTCCTTTGTGAAAGTTATTAAGCTGAGAAACATTTTTAATAGGCGCCCCAGATTTCTGAGCGCCTAAACTCTGTTCCTGCTTAGCTCCACCTATTTTTTGAATTATTTGCAAGTATTTGTTAATGAACTTTAACTTGACATATAAAAAAACACAACCACACACGCACATAGACACACACACACTGATAAGTTTCATTGATCACCTACGGCCATAGATAAGTATAAAACATCGGGCTCTGTAGCCAAATCTAGTTAGTCGCTCTACGAAAGCCCTAAATAAATCACAATTCTTCAAAATGAAATTTGCTGCTGTAATTTGCCTGCTCTTCGCACTGTTCGGCGTGTCCCTGGGTCTCAAGGATTGTAAGTATAAGTATACTTATCAATGGATGATCCTCTATTAAGTTTTGCTTTGCCCTCAGCCGTTTGTGGTCTGCCAGCTGCAGCCGATGGCAACGGCTTGATCAAGTGCGCCGCTTTCATACCTAGCTGGAGCTACTATCCTGAAGAAAATGCATGCAAGAAGTTCATTTATGGCGGATGCGGAGGCAATGAGAATCGTTTCGGAACTGAGGAGCTCTGCGCAGCCAAGTGTGTGGAGTAAAATTGCTAAATGAAAACTCAAGCTGTGGTCTTAATCAATAAATTCGTTGAATGAAACTTTAAAAGCCCACGCTGTTTGACCTTGAAAGGTGTTCAATGAGATTTGGATTGGTCTATGCTTTACTTATGCTGTGGAATATGGAGGCATTTGGGAGCACTCGCTTTCGAATCATTAAATATAAAAATCACTCGAAAGCTAAGCTCCTGTGTATAAATAATTTGCATCAAAATACGCTCTCAACTAGTTTAAAAGAATAGATAGAATGACTTTTGTATACTATACACTATTTTATGCTCACACGAAAATTTCATACTTTAAATTTGATTATTAAAATTAGACACGAGTGAATCGAGGCTTGTTTTCCGGATGAAAGACACATTGTAGATTTAAACTGTGAATATAGTTTCTCCTCGCTTCAGCCAAAGTTTTTCAACTGCGGTTACAAGTTCTCAAATCTTAGAATGAAGCTGTTTTTATATTTTTTTGTTCTCGCTGCATACGTGGGCAGTTCTTTAGCTCTTAAATACGGTCAGTATTAGAAACTGAAACATTCTTCAAATAAACTCAACTTTTATCTCGTTAATACCCACAAAGAGGACTGCGGATTGCCTCATGCTGATATTGGACCATGCTGGGGTGGCAGCAGCAAATGGTCTTATAATGCAGTGACCAACGAATGTACACATTTTCGTTATTCAGGCTGCGGTGGAAATGCTAATAAATTTAGCAGCCAAGAAAATTGTGAGAATAAGTGCCTGATTAACAGATCCTTACCTCTTAAACATGGTCAGTATTAGAAACTGGAACATTCTTTAAATAAACTCAGCTTTTACCTCGTTAATACTCACAAAGAGGACTGCGGATTGCCTCATGCTGATATTGGACCATGCTGGGGTGGCGGCAACAAATGGTCTTATAATGCAGTGACCAACGAATGTACACATTTTCGTTATTCAGGCTGCGGTGGAAATGCTAATAAATTTAGCAGCCAAGAAAATTGTGAGAATAAGTGCCTTGTTAAAATGTTCTAACTAAATATGTTAGACGAAATCGCTTACACAATTTTTCTGAATATGCAATCGGGCTAAGATATTAAATAAAATATTCATAAGCCCTAATATTCTCCCGAGCGTTATGCATTTAGTACAAATCAATTTAATTACGCCTTTTCATTTAATAAATTCACACTAATTAGTCTTGAAGTTTGTTTCTGCTGTTCTATTTAATCTTTCTACGGAAATACTTTATGGTTCATATGGAGTTTGTTGCCCTAATTGTCTGCTCCTTTCATTCTTCGGATTTTCTCTGGGCGCTAAATCATTTAGGCATTTGCTAAGTTTCAGCGGGTGATCCACACTTAAATTGTGCATTACTCTAAGCCATTTGTCATCAACCGCCTCCAGGTGACAATGGATGCCTTGCCCAGGCAGGCAAGGTGAAGCTACCATCCAAAAAAGAATGCAAGAAATTCATCTACAGACAATCGCTTCGGTTCTCAAGAGGAGTTTGAATTAAATTGAAAAAAGTAATTTTAATGTTACGATAACATTTCAATAAAGAAAGCAAATTGTCCTTAAAGGCGACATTTAAAATTTATTACCGCAGTTTTTCATTAGTATACAAGAAGACTTTTGAAAGTATTTTAAGACTAAAAATTGCATTAATAATTAAAATATAAATATATAAAAATTCATTGCATTCGCTTATCAAACCTTTTTACAAACGTTTTGAATAACAAAATGAAATAACACTTTTACTTGTTTTGAATCATTAAGCCTAGTATTAGAGTATTTAATTCTGGGAAATGAGTTTGTTTACTAACAGCTCGGGACTTTCCGAAAAAGATACTATAAGTAGACGCTGTGAAACCAAGTTGGGAATTGTGCTCATGAAAAGTAAACAATAAACAAGCAAATTGAGGCAACAATTCACATATTAATACTCTCTTCACAAGACGAACCGGGGTGTATGGGTTTTGAGCAGTAACTTACGTAATATTTTTCGACACACAAATTATTCAAGACTTTAAATCTTCGATATGCATATAACTATCGTTGCCTTCCATATAGTTTTGAAGTGACTGTATTACAGTTCTACAGTAACTGCTTATCGGCTATTAAACTGTGAACAGAGTAATGTGCAGTCGGTTGCATTCAAGTGCATTATTTTCACTTATTGTTAAGTATTTTCCGCGCCAGATTTAAGATCTAGAGAATTGACAAGAATTGCACCCAGGTGATTGAATATATTGTGCCCTCGTACACAATACAGCTAGAATAATCCATTAAATTTGTACGTATTGTTGTTTTTCACTATAAGAGAGTATATTAACTTTGTCATGAAACATGAAATGCAACGAAACTGAAATCTTTTCGAAGCAATTAAATATCTAACACATTATGTTGAAGTAGAATTCGCTCTGTGTGTGATTCTAAAAACTCGCTCAACTGGCAAAACTGGAAAGCATATTAAATGTTTAATAGATTTAAATGAGGTTATCGATGAAGATCTTAAACTTATTAATTAAAAGGTTGCGCATTGCCACATATATTTTAGCTATAATTTTAGTCTCGTTCTCATTTATTTCCCCTTGAAATTTATTTTTTAGTATTTTTCTTTACTCGGAGCATGAGGTAAGAGTGTGCGATAAGGCTGTCAAACAAAGCTCAAAAAAACGGAATGTTTGTCTAATAAATGCGAGTTCGACTTGTACACAGTTTAGTTGAAATTTGTCACTGATTACACATAGAGTTAACGTGCGAGCCGAACTAAAAAATAAATAAATAAAAATATTAAACATGAAGTTTTTTCTATTGCTTGTGATTGTTGCTGCCTTTTTGGCCAACTGCCTGGCCCTAAAAAATGGTGTGTAGTACAATGTGAAATACTCTTCCAAAATAGTGAACTAACCTTGAATGGTCCTTGCAGATATCTGCGGTCAGCCCCACTCGCGTAATGGGGATGGAGTCGCCGTCTGCCTGGCCTATATGCCCAGATGGACCTACGATGCGGCGGCCAATGAGTGCATTAAATTCATCTATGGAGGCTGTGGAGGCAATAAGAACCAGTTTCCCGACCAGGAGAAATGCGAGGCAGCCTGCCTTGAATGAGTTTTGATATTGTAATCTTTTATGTGCATTCTAATAAAGAATTATCGAGCTCCAAAATGCCGAAACTAGCTAATTAGTGTCTTTGAAAATAGCTAACAATTTTTTATTTTGTTCTGAACGGGGTTGGGGTTGATGAAAATATTTTGATAAAAACGACATGCAGAAGCTGAAGTGTTTGCAATCAATACTTCAAGCACAGAATAGCCGAACCGGTTCTTTGGATAAGGGTCGAGTTATTTGCTCGTATTTAGGCTCGTTTCTAAATCCTGATTTTCAACATATATAAACCCATAGAGAATGTTTTTTAATAAAAAATGTAAATTCCGTAATTGGCTTTTATATTGATGTAGACCTGCTTCCACTAAATTCTTTCCAATGCTGTTTCTAGAAAATAAACCGAATAATTTAATAAATAGGGTTTATTTCGGATTCGGGCTTTGAGCAACTGCTTTGGTTCAAGGTTCGTTACAAGGCTCGGTTAGCGCTTAATATTGAAATTTCTGGTCCTATTTCTGGTTCGGCCTTACGGCCTACGTCATGAATTTCAGAATGAGAAATGTTTGCACTCAAAAGAGAAGAATAGCATGTGTGTATTTAGCAATCTCAACTGAAAAGTTCCCCTTTTTAATACGTTTACTTAATCATATTGCTAAACATTGAAAACAAATATTTACCAATACTACAAACAACAACAAACTTCGTAATAATTTTATTCTGTATTCAAAGGTTTCGACAGTCGAGGCAATGCGATAAGACAGCTGAGCAGAGCTCTAGGAATGTATTTAATATGCGAGTTTGAGTTTCGTGCTCTTTAGTTAAAATTTATCACTGGTCGCATTCACTTCTCATCTGAGTTACTTAGTAAAAAAAAAAAGTTATTATGAAGCTTTTGGTATTGTGTGTAATGCTTATTGGCTTGATTGTCAGCTGCTTTGCGTTCAAAAATGGTGTGTTTTCAATATTAAATATATTTTTCCCAAAGATCAGTTTCTTACTCTATATGCTCTATGCTTTTTTATGTGTACATAGATGTGTGCAGTCAGCCCCATTCCCGAAATGGCGACGGACGAATTTCATGTGAGGCTTATATACCCAGGTGGAGCTTCGATGCGGCTGCTAACGAATGCGTTAAGTTCATCTATGGAGGCTGTGGAGGCAATGACAATAGCTTTGGCACCAAGGAGCTCTGTGAGGAGAAGTGCTTGGAATAAACGGCCATTACTCACTGAATGATAGGTCAACATAGGAAAACAAGAATCCAATTTAAGCTCTGATATTGATTTGATTAAAATAATTCCGTTTAAAAACTACTTTCTGGTTTAACTTCATTAAGAGACCTTTGACTTAATAGCTTGGAATACCTTTCTTAAATTATATTCTGTGTCGGTATACTTTTTAATCATACCTCTTAAGCATCAGGGCGATAAGAAAACATTTCTTTAATTTTTTCTAGGAGCACTTAATATGTACCCTCAAATATCCTATATAGACATATGTGCAAACTTCCCACTCTCATAGCCTGGTTAAAACTCAATCGATTTTCACAAGGTTTGGCTTTTTGTCAATGGTTCGACCTCTTGATCAATTTGGCATCCAAATCTGGCAACATCATTCTTGGTCACAATTCATGTGAAAATGGTACCCTCAAATATCCAATAGGTCTAAATTTCCAACCCCCATAACTTGGTCAAAACTCAACCGATTTTCATAAGGTTTGGCTATTTTTCAATGGTTTGAACTCTAGATCAATTTGGCGTATAAATCTGGCAACATTATTCTTGGTCCGAATTCATGTGAAAATGGTACCCTCAAATATTCTATATAGACATATGTAGGTCAACATTTTCCACCCCCATAACTTGGTCAAAACTCAACCGATTTTCATAAGGTTTGGCTATTTGTCAATGGTTTGACCTCTAGATCAATTTGGCATCGAAATCTGGCAACATCATTCCTGGTCAAAATTCATGTGAAAATGGTACCCTCATATATCCGATATAGACATAGGTCAAAATTTTCCACCCCCTTAACCTCGCCAAATCTCACCCTTTTTTCGCGAAGTTTGGGTCTTTGTAGTTCTCTATATTAATTTGGCATATAAATCTGTTCACATTAGTCTTTGCCAAAATTCATGTATTAAAGGTACCCTCAAATATTCTATATAGAAATATGTCTAAATTTTCCACCCCCATAACTCGATCAAATCTCATCCTATATTCATAAAGTTTGGCTCTAAGAAAATGTTCAATGCCATAAAATCCACATCTTCTGCTGTGAAATTACCAAACTTATATTAAACTAATTGCAAACGATTTTGCCAATTTTCCACACCTGCGGGTGAAGTTTTCTACAACCCAGTCTTAGCTTTCACCTCTATCACATAATCTAACTAGCTTTTATCGTTTGGGATACGCATTGATCAGCCATCAAACAGTTTTATATTTAGATATAAATATATATTTGTCATTACGTACTCACCTGCACCATTGTATTGTCCTCATCTATCAGTAGGCGAAGGACGACATTTTTTATCCTCTAGAGCTATAGCTGCCGCCTCCTCCATTGAAGCCGCCATTCTATATTTGGAGCCTCCGTCTCCTCCAATACTTAAGCCGGCGCCTCCTCCATTGCTAAAGCTGCCGTCTCCTATATAGCTAAGGTCGCTGCCTCCTCTATAAGTCGCTGTCTGTTCCATCGCTGAAGCTGCCGTCTTCTCCAATATTAAAGTCGCCGCCTTCTCCATCGCTGAAGCTGCCGCCTCCTTCACAGGTGGCTTACTTGAATTTATGAGAATCGAGTAGAAGGGACTTAGTTAGAATAAGTTTTTTTTAATTTGCACCGCAGCTAGGGGTAAACTTGGTGTTGCATACAAACACACAAACATATATGCATACATTAATTTACATATATAACGCATAGAAATATAATGTTATAGACATGCATACACAGAAGCATACGTGCATACATACATTCATACATAAATATGCACATACATACATACATACATACATACATACATACATACATACATACATACATACATACATACATACATACATACATACATACATACATACATACATACATACATACATACATACATACATACATACATACATATATACATATATGCATACATACATACATACATACATACATACATACATACATACATACATACATACATACATACATACATACATACATACATACATACATACATACATACATACATACATACATACATACATACATACATACATACATACATACATACATACATACATACATACATACATACATACATACATACATACATACATACATACATACATACATACATACATACATACATACATACATACATACATATGTATATACATAAATATGCACATACATACATACCTACATACCTACATACCTACATACCTACATACCTACATACCTAAATACCTACATACCTACATACCCACATACTCACCTCTGACTTGATGAACAACACACGAGTCAGACACTGAAAATGCATTAAAAACTGTAGGGCCTACTTGAATTCATGAGAATCGAGGAGTAGAGCAGCACAGCACAGCTACAAATAAGCTTGGTCTGCTTTTGGTATTAGAAAACAAACATCTAGGCATACATATATACATAAAACCGCCCACAAACACACACACACAATTCCATACACACACACACACGCATATATAATACTGCATATATTTAATACTTAAAGAGTATACATTTAATTCTCGCCATGCACAGAACGAGCTAATCAGTTTTGTTTTTCGATATCGCCTTCCATTTCCAGAGTACCGATAAATATCGATTTTGAGACTTGGTTTATAAAGCATTACTCGAAGGTTATGAGAGCTACATATAGCAAACTGTGGGGGTGTGTGTTATTGTGTAGTATATTTAGGTTTACAATATTGCAATTACAACACATCTAGATATTTAATTAGATGCGGATGTGTGAAGTGTGAAATGTTGTTAAAAATATTAACACAGCATTGGATGTTTTTATTGTTTTTCTTTTTAAACATACTGTAAATAAGTTCTAGCTCTTAATTCTTAGAATGAAGTTGTATTTCTTGTTCACGGTACTCGCTGCATTGGTTGCCAGCTCGGTAGCTAAGCAAAATGGTAGATAGCGAACAAAAGATTGGTATGCAAGTAAAACTTAGTTGTTAACCCCTTGTAATACACAGTGATATGCGGATTTCCGGTTGCCTTTAACGAACAAAGGCCCTGCAAGGGAAAAGAACTAGCCTGGCATTATGATTGGCTAACCCAAAAATGCGTTCCGTTCGTCAACAAAAATTGCCACGTAAATCGAAATCAGTTTAAAAAGAGAAAGGAATGTACGGAACTGTGCAAGGGTGTAACGAGTAAAACTACAACCACCGTGAAACCAAAAATAGGTTAAGCGACATCATATACATATATATTGGTCATATTTATCAATAAATAACATATATGCTGGAAGCTGAAATACAAAAAATACAAAAATGTATGTTAAAATAACCGCAAACTTAACATCACGTTAACCATGTTACATGAATCTGCCTGATAAAAGTTGCAAGGCACTTTATAAGCAATAATAGCAATTTTATTATTTTTAAAGATACATTTTAATAAAATTTAATTAGATTAATAAGTATATTGTAATGAGCGAAAAAAACGAAAAAAAACAATCACGAATTATCCTCTTGTTATTTGAATGTGCATGACAGCAACCAAGAATTTTTTTCAATCATTTATATTTTTCACATTTTCATTGTTTTATAACTTGCTATATAGTGCGCCGATTATCTCAGTTTAATATATATATACTCGGAAGCTTCATTGCGGTTATCGGTGTGGACTTTCTATATTGACCCATTGCGTTCTGCTCTGATGCCGTCTAAGCACTGCACAGATAAGAGACACTTCTTTTGTACTTCTTCAGATGTCGGATCCTATATGTATTCAGGTTTATATAGCGCCGATGTGGCCAGCAGCAGTTGCAGTCTCATTGCAAATATGAAGAACGAGTATTTGTTGCTTACAGCAGTTGGATTGCTGTTGTGCCTCTCCAGTGTGCACGCCAAACCAGGTGAGTAGAGCGCTGGATCTTTGAGGAGTTGGTACCGACTGGACTAACTATTCCACTTGCTAGGGATGTGCAATGAGAAGCACTCAATGTCGGGCATGGCACAGGATGGTGCTGCCTGCATGGCCTATATGCCCAGCTGGACCTACAATGCCGCCAAAAACGCCTGCGTCGAGTTTGTATTTGGTGGCTGCGGTGGCAATAAAAACCAATTTGGCAGCCAAGGTGAATGCGAGACGGCCTGCAAGGACTAAGCTGGAAGCACAGCGTCAAACCAGTCTCAAGTGCTGGCAAAACCCAGCGCAAAGGCGAATAAACAATAACAAAGAAAAGAGGAAATATATAATTATAAAATAAACGACGAAGCTTGTTTTGTAAAATAAATACAAATTTCTCTATAGTTTTCAAGGTTTGTTGTCGTTGTTGTTGCTGTTGTTGTTGTTTTTGCAAAAGAGCGCTCATCTTGACCCAGAGATAAACCTACAGCCGGTTTCTGCCTATATAACGAGCCCCACATGCCGGCAACCAGATCAGTTGCAAGCGACGCAGTGCCCAAACATCAGTTTTTTAAAATTATTTTTCGATTTTTTCACCAGCTCGAATTCAAGATGAAATATTTCGCTGTGCTGCTGTTGCTCTGCGCGCTGCTGGGTGCTGCGCTGGCCACACTTAAGAATCGTAAGTTTTCAAACAACTCGCGCTGCACTCTATGATTCTCACAATACTCTGTATTTAGCTGCCTGCGGTGAGGAGTTTGGCAAAATAGGCAACTGTCGCGCCCAGAAGTCGAAGTGGACCTATCGCCGGGACACCAATGAGTGCATCAATTTCACCTACGGCGGCTGCCAAGGCAACAACAATCTCTTCGACACGAAGAACTTGTGCGAGCAGACCTGCAAAGTTTAAGTGGAACTTGTTTTGTTAAATAATTAATATATAAATACATGTTACTTATAAAATAACTCAATTGAGAATAATGTGCTTTTTAATTTCGTAATATATTCATTTATTGTTTTTTAATTAACTTGTTAAACTTTAATTAACTGGATTTTACTTGCTCCTTTTTTATTGTTTAGATATTTGCTGGCTTAAATAATGTTTTCTTGTTGGTTCAATCTGTTCTTCTATACTCTTTCTTGCTGCTGTAGGTTTTCAGTGAAATAATCTACTTATTATATTTGTTATCGCTTTCCGTTAGCTATCTGCTCTTCTATACATGAGTATATATTATTATATTATTATTATGCATATGTTCTTTAATTGATATTTTATAAACATTCGAAGGGGCACTCTGTCAGTGAAAATGTGAGCACTTTTTGAAACAAATGCTATTGCATCGGAGATTATGAGGGTACAGCTCAGTTGTCTACACATATATTTATGGGAGTTCTCTCGCTGCGAGTTCTATTCAAAAATTGCACAATATAATGTTTATAGCTCAAACAGAAATATACATAACGCCTTCAAATTCTATACAATGTTATAAATTATAAAAAATTAAAAATAAATTAAAAACCATTCAGTAATCCTCTAAAGATGTCAGACATAGAAATCCGCCAATCTTCTCGCTCCCTCTCTCTCTCTCTCTCTCTCGCTCTCTCGCCCTCTTCCACTGTTCTCTAGGTGCACTCTAATTCAACTTAAACTTTATGGTCTTGTTTATTTTTCTCGTTGTTGTTGTCGCTCTCATTTGGCCTCTCTCCCATTCTCCCTCTCCTTAAATTCTCCAGCTAATCTCAAACTGCACTCTCTGCTTAGATTTTCAACTGAATGCCCCCAACAAGTCGCTAAATGTCTAGCTAAGTAATCTAAAATTATTTTAGATGTGTGTTTTTATTGTGTGTTGCCCTCTAGCTGCGTAAAACTAATGCTTAAATGGTAAGTCCGCCACATAGATTATGTTTATATATATATATATATAGTGTATTTATAATCTAAACTGATTAATTTTATTTTATTATTCCACACACTTCATGCTCTCTCTTTATTCGGTTTTGGGGAGCAGCGCGTTGCCATTGACAGCGGCCGTTGCTGGCGGCGAATCCGGACGCACTGCAGCCGATGATGACAACTGCTGCTGCGACTGCAGCTGCGTGGGCGTGGTCGGAGGCGACAGAGTGGCATGGTGTTGCAGCTGCTGCTGCTGCTGCTGATGCAGTTGCTGCTGCTGCTGCTGATGGTGATGATATGCCGCTGCCGACTCGGCCAGATCGAGCAGAGCTGCCGATGTGGAGCTTGTGGCTGTGCCGGCGCCCGGGCCCAGGCCATTCATTGTGCTGGCCGTCATGTCCTGTGCCTCATGCTTCATGCGCAGCGGATTATTATTGTTGTTATTGTTGTTGTGATTATGGGCATGCCCCAGCGCCGGATGATGGGCGAATGAGAGTGGCGGCAAGTGCAGGCCCGGAAACGCCAAGCCGGCCGCAGCTGCCGCATGCAGTGACTGCAGCAGCGCTGCCGAATGCTCCTGTGCCTTGCGCCGCAGCTCGGCCACGGAATTGGAGCGTGGATCATGCGAGCCACCGCCACTGGACTTGGGCGACTCCGGCGAGCTGGCCGCCGAGCTGCTGCTCACCGGCACCATAACCGAAGTCGAGGCAGACGACGACGGTGGCAGCGGCGGCGGCTTCAGGGAGCAGCACGAACAGAGACTTTGAAACGGCGACACACCTGAGAAAAAGTCGAAAGATAAATTGTATTATCAATTTTCAAATTAGTTTTGATGTCGATGCATCATCTTTGGGCTGGCAACAGCTGCTAATTTGATTAGCAATTGCTTTTGATTTTTGCTTTCTTGTGCGCATTGATTGACAGCCCATCGATGGAGATTATGCCATTAGTCCACCCACCTTTGAGGCCCGGAAAGAGCGGCTGGTGCGTGAACTGTGCCGCCAGATGCGGCGGCAGGAAAAGCGGTGGATGATTGGCGCTGCGCTGAGCCGCTGCGGCGGCGGCTGCTGCTGCTGCTGCCACAGAGCTCTGGTCGCTGAGTACCGGACGAAAGCCACAATTACTGCAAACGAAGGAAGAAATTCACGTTAATATAGAGTTCGATATGATAATATTTACGACTATATTCTTTATTAGGCACAAAGTTGTTATTAAAAAACACAGAGTATGCGACGAGAATTTAAGATTAAGATACCCAGATTTAAAAAAAATGAGTATGCCAAAAAACAAAAAATGTTCCATTTATTTTACTTATTAAGTAAAAATGTAATGGCCTAGCTATTTAATACAATCGGCTGGGAACGTGCATGTTCTCTGATACCAAACGCCTTACTACTTAAATGCCTTACTATGCGCTTCTCATGAATTCAAAAAGGGCTTACCGGTTTCAACATACTCTACTCTCTTGCACGCTTTCTCTCTCTCTCTCTCTCTCTCTCTCTCTCTCTTTCTCTTTCTCTCACTTCTCTCACTTTATTTCCTTTTCTCTTTACTGTTCTTACTTTTAGCCACTTTAAACTTCTTGTGTTTTTATAAGTTATTCGTAAATTAAAAAATCGCTCTTCCTTCTACTAACATAATAGGTGTGCATAGGTATATGTAATATATACACGGATGTTGGCTTATATTTATGTACGTTTCTGGGCAAAGTTTCTAGTTTTATGGGTATATATCATCACATAATGTGTCAATTAGATATGGATAGAAAATAGCCTTGATAGAGTGCAACGAATCAATTTAAAATGCAAATTCAAATTTGCAGCAGTTTAATGAAGCTTCAACACTGGCGGGTTCAGCTTCTCGCGAATCTTGCAATGAAGCTGATTCTCATATTTTCGCTAATCGCAACACTCTTTGTTTTAATTCTTATTCTATTTTTAATTCTCTTAACGGGCAACTCTGTTGGCCCAAATTATGGTGGGTACGGCAAATTTACGTATATACTTTATAATAATTTGCATTGTTATTTTCTCAGCGGCGTGCCAATTGCCACATTCAGTAGATGGATACGAAGATGGAACAGCCTGTGGGAGAATGCGAGAAAACTGGTCCTACAATTCGGTGGCCAAAACATGCGTTATGTTCATTTATGGAGGCTGCGGTGGAAATGATAATAATTTTAACACGTTTAAGGAATGTAAAGACACGTGCCTCAGCCGAATGGCTTTTACTGAGAAAATGTACACTTTCTGGTGACTTGGCCGAAGCACGATTGAGCTTTTTCTTTAATATAACAATCTAGCAATAAAATAAAATAAGCATAGAGAACACAACAATATTTGAATTTTGTTTTATGTCTTAATTGAAATTCGGTGGAATTTTATCATTAAGATGAAGATTTTTTTGAAAAAGTTGAATGCAAAAGTGTCTTTTGTTTAATAACGAATGAAGCTTATAAAATGTGTATCGATTTTAACTTTGGGTTTGTTGAAAATTTTTAAAATATTGTTAGTTTTGTTACTTGTAAGACTTGCTGCAAGTCGTAATTTTTCTATTGTTTTTGACAGTAAAGTATACCCTTTACTTTTTCTATTAGATATTCTTTTTTGAATACAAACTCATTTACATAAAATTAACACTAAATTTGCAACGTAAGAAATCAACTCAATTTACTAACAATAATACGTTATATGCTTATTTTGAAGAATCTCAAATGTATCATAGATAAGATTAATCATAGATTAAGGTTAATTAAGTACAGTTATTTAAATAGTCAAAATCTCGAGATCATAAAGGATTACTTGATATTTTTCATACGACCTCAGTCTTAACATAAATACAAAGAAAATATTTATGCTTCTGCTTTCCTAGATATGTTTAAATATTCCACAATATCATGCGATAAAATAGCACCATATTGTATCTCATGTCAATCGTGGTTGACTATCCCAGCAATGGGAAAGTTGTGACCGCTCTGGCCTTTCAACTTTCCCCATGCATTTCACAATTCCACTGTGACAATCTAGATGGATATGTATACAAGCTTCGTTTTTATAACACCCAACGCACAAACAGACAAACAACAACAAACGCAGCTTTTAATTAACGCTTAATTGAAATAAATTAAAACATTTTTATGCGTAATTGCATTATTATTAATAAACCTAAATATTTTGTATATGTAAAAAGCGGCAGCTGTTGTCACTTGTTGTTGTTGTTATTGTTGTTGTTGTTGTCTAGGCCCCTACTCGGTTTAATTGAATGAAATATAACGCTTAGGTCGCATACCCAACCATATTCCATTCGTAAAGTCCCCGAGCAAACAGTTAATGCAATTTAAACAATTTTAATTGATATGCGAGCCAACAATAAAAAAAACGCTTATGTAAGCATGGTATAGATAAATTATATGCCTGGCATAATCCATTAATAAAATTATCATATTTTTTATTAGTCATAATTGTTGAATATTATTGGTGTTTTTTCTATGTACTCATAAGCAAATAAATTCGAGTTTCTATGCGAAAAACAAAGAGGAAATGTAAATAGAAAAAAAATTCAATTTCCATTTATTTCAATTTGCGTTAAGCTTTTTAGCGTTTAGTCCATTTGGATCTAGTCCTGCGGGACTTTTGGAGCTAAAGCTGGATGCAAATGTGTCCAAAATTTAATAACTCTTAGTGCGCGGCCTAACTCGACGCGAGGGGAGCAGTCAGGTGTATGCGTATGTAGCTGCCACAAGCAGGGGCACAAATCTCTGAATGCTAATCGAGTTGCGGGTGGGATGCTGGCCAGGACGAGCCGACCGAATGTCGCGACCACAGCCACTGGGCCACAGTCGTCGCGGCTGTTGCTTTTAATTCTTTTCACTTTTTTCCACTCTAAACTTGACGGTTTTTTGGCTTTTGCTTTTGCGTTTGCCCCTGCCTACCTCCTCGTTCACCCGCCACGCTCTTCTTCTAATTCTGAGCTGCGTTGCGCCTGTCCTGATTTCAGGAGATTCCAGGAGGTGGACACACTATTTGGCCGCTTGAAACAGAATTTTGTATTCGGTGAATGTTTTATTTTTCCTCCGTTTTCCATTTTTATTTTCATGTTAAGTTTATGAATTTTTCAAAGAATTCTAAGCTATTTTAAAATGATTGCGAGAACATTAGATTAGGGCGAACCTTCTGGGGCAAGAGCTGAGGCTAAAGGAAAGTTTAACTAACAGATAAAAGAGTTTGGAAATGGTCAGTGAATATTAAGAAAATATATCACATATACCAAAGTTTACATTAACAGGCTTTTTTGAACACTGTCCATCTCAAGATGAGGTTGGTTAATGTTTAGAGTTTATGGTCCTTAAATAGGGAATAATAGAATAGAATAAGGAATAAATACATTTTAGTATACACAAATACAACATATAATATTAATTTAAATTCAAAAAATCAGATAAAGCTATATATACAAATTTGAAAATTCGTATTTGTTTTGCTTGCTTGCCTATTATTTCATTTATTCATTAATTTATTTATATTTATATTCTAGTCAAACTTGATCTGCATAAACGAAAATAATAAAAAAAATAATGATATATGGCAAAAAATGATTTTAAAAAAAGCGAAATTGCTTTAAAATAATATTATTATATGTTAATTATAATATATATTATATTAAATTATGAAAAATAAATAATGTTTTTTCTATTTATTGATAAGTATTTTATTTTCGTGCTTCGCTCTTTTTTAATATTTATCTAAGAGTACGTTAAAGATATATATAACACGAATATATTTTATAATTTCTTGATACTTTTCACACAAAAATGACAGCCCAATTAGGCCCAAAGGCAAAGGGGAAAAGCAAAAGTCCGAGCTCAACGAGAAGAGTTGGCAAACAGAGACTCTTGGAAGTGCTCTCACTAGCTGTATTTATAGTTCCAGTTCCATTTTGAGTCCCAGTCTGTGTCTGAGTCGCAGTTGTAGCGAAAAAAGCAGTAAACTTAAATGTTTGCGTATAATTAAGCACTCATCCTTTGGTCGTAATTAAATTTTGCATGTGCACATCCAACAGCTGCCGTTGTGGCGCCATCTACAGTCGGTGCCGGCGACGGGCGGACCCGGCTTAGGGTTAGGGGCTGGGCAAGGGGCGGGGTGTGTGCTCTGTCTGAGACTGGCAAAAATGTTGCAGCATCAACGACGTTTGCCGCAGGCGAAACATCAAGCGGGCGCGCGGTGCTGTTTGACAGGGCCCCGCCCACACGGCTACCGCCGCCCTAATTGCAGCACTCAAGAGGAGGCCCAGCCCTCCGACTGACGGCACTCGCACTCCAAATTAAGACATTCAGCAGCTCGAGTGTTGTCGTTGAGCTCGTTAGTTAGTACATAACTTTTGCTGTGGGCCAACTGGCGCAAGGCTGGGCCGTAGGGGTTGACGGAGGTTGCGGGGGGGTGGGCAGACTTATGCGTTTGTCAATGTCAGACAGAGCGCGTAGCATGCTCACCTAGCGCACAAAAGTTTTCTTTAAATTTTCGCACTTTTCACAGATTGCCGTTGCCAAGGAGAAACTTTTACCGACTTGGCTTAATGAATTTTTACACATATTGCCCGCGCTCCGACAATGCCCCCAACACCCTCCTCCAAGCCCCTACCCCTTGCACATAATTTTTCTGGCAAACATTTTAATGCCTTACGCAATTCTAACAAATTAAACTCGAGCAATCAACACCTCAACGGCTTAGCGGGCACCGCACCGCACCGCGCTAACCCCCATTTTGGCGAGCGCCAAACCCAATTTCCGCAAAATGTTTGCGCTAGCGAAAGTTTGTGTTCTTTTTAATACCCTGCACCCATTAAATGAAAAGGGTATAATAATGCTTATTATATATATCTTATTATATATATCTATATCCTCTTTACATTGATATATTTTTATGAGCAGAAAGCAATTGGGAAGAATTTTACAACGAGTCTTTAACCAGGCTGCAAATTGGCATAGCGCCAAACTGTTTTGAACCTTCACTTTCTTTTTTTATATACCACGAACCGAACCTAAGGCCAGATAAGTTGGTTAAGGCAAAATAGTATGCAGCCCGAATCAAACCAGTCTTTTCTTTTTTAAGGGGTTGGTTTTAAAAATTAGTTTCGAAAAGCTTATTAGTTTTCTATATTTCGATTGACTAAATGTGTAAATGTGATTAATTTATATCACATTTTAAAAAATTGCGAACCAGATTTCGAACCCAAACCTAGTGACATGGATGTGGATGAGGTTCACGAACCGTAGCTAAAGGAGAAGCATTGATTCTAAACGTGGACTGAACCAACAAGAATTTTCGCTGAGCTTGTTGTGAGGATCGAAAAAGCCATGCTATCATTATGTGCCAAGTGGCAGATGGAAGATAACAAAGCGATAAATGAGCGATGCGAAAACGCATGCTTATATGGCTACTTAACTAAGAGTACAGGGTATTTTATGGGCAAGCACTCTCTATTGGCGCAATGTGACTGCTTTTTATTGGCGCTATCCTTGGCTGAAATTATTTTCTACTTCCTACCCGAGTTGGCAGCTAAAGCGAGAGCTCTGAACATTATATGCTTATTATATTAGCCAACCCAAGGTTTTTGATGGAGCTGTTCGAGGAGGAAGAAGGGGGGGTGGGTGGGTGTAGGAGGAGGGATTCTGTTGGTTGGTTGTTTGGCTGTTTGTTGTGCGCGAGTCAGCGGCTTATTTTAATTGCATGATGAATATTAAAATATTTGCTTAATTTATTATTCAAGCATTCGTGCGCGCAAACATCACAAATGCGCTTGCATATATGTCGGTAAATATATATATACATTATATGCTCAAGTATATAGCTGGCATATAGCTTGGGTACATCATTTGATTTTTGGCCTCCACCTGGGCATGCGGCTGTTTACATGTTTAAGTAGCTCCGATTTTACATGCCTCGGCGTCTAATTACGTATTTAGTTAGTTGTGCATACAATATTTGGCAATTCTGTTTCAAATTTTTTGGCAAATATTTTCACATTTTGCGGCTAGCTATTTAATTACCCCAGTTTCCTGTAACCAGCCAAAAGGGATTTGAAATTGGGCACAAGTCCAATTTGCTGAGGTCTGGAAATTGTTGTAGAGCAATAAATTGAAAGAAACGAAGTGTTTTTTAGTAGACAAAATAAGTCTTAAATAATGCTTCCAATTAGTTCCTTAGTAAATAAAGGGAGTGAAATCATAGATGGAGCAATATCAGCCGATATTCAAATGTCAAGGTGGCCACTAAAGCGGCAAATTACAATTTGTATAGTTATATATTTTCCTAAGTAAATTGTACAACCCAATTTTACAAAAGTGTAAAAAAATTGCAATTCTTATCGTATAGACGTATATCAAGTGTACATTAATGTATAACATGTGATTAAAGGATTAATGGGATGAAGTTAGTTAGCTTTTTGTTGAAATTACATTTTTATTCGAGATAGTATAATTTGTAATAAGTTTTTAAAGCGAAATAAAATCCGAAGAATGGAAGAAGCAGCACCATAAAGCAATTCCAAACAACGACTAAATAGAATAACAGAGCACAGTGCTTTATGCCATTTCTAAGTCACATTAAAACATTAAAACTAATAAGTGTGAACTATTAAATAAAATGGCGAAATTAAATTGATTTATAAAGTGTACATAACGCTGGGGAAGACTGTAAAGATTATAAATATTTCATTTAATATGCTAGCCCGATTGCATATTTTAGGTAATTGTATAAGTATTTTCGACTAACATAATTAGTTAGAACATGTTAAACTATTATGCTTTATTCTTTGGGTATTCATTCCAGGCACTTATTCTCACAATCTTTTTGGCTCAAAAAACTATTATCATTTCTACCGCAGCCTCCGTACATAAACATTGAGCATTTTTTGGCCTCTGCATCATAGGACCATAACTTTTTGAAAAACAAGCAGTATCTTCCGTCATCAAATCCGTTTTTAGCATGTTGCAATCCGCACACCTCTTTGTTGATAATAACAAGATAAAAGCTGAGTTTATTTGAAGAATGTTCCAGTTTCTAGTACTGACCATGTTTAAGAGCTAAAGAACTGCCCACGTATGCAGCGAGAACCAAAAAATATAAAATCAGCTTCATTCTAAGATTTGAGACCTTGTATCCACAGTTGACAAACGTAGACTGAAGCGAGGAGAAACAACCTAGCCTTATAGCTTTATGCGATGTCTAAGTCTCATACAAACCTTAAAACTAAATGGTGTGAAATATTTAATTAAAAGTCGCAACTGAATCGAATTGTACAGTGTATATAACGCTGGGAAAGGCTTTTTGGGGATTATCAATATATCGTTTTATATCTTAGCACGATTGCATTTTCTGCATAATTGTAAAAGCAATTAGTTGGAACACGTTAACCTATCATGCTTTATTCTTTGGGTATTCATTCTAGGCACTTGTCCTCACAATCTTTTCGGTTCAAAAAACTATTATCATTTCTACCGCAGCCTCCGTACATAAACATTGAGCATTTCTTGGTCACTTTATTATAGGACCATAACTTTTCGAAAAACAAGCAGTATCTTCCGTCATCAAATCCGTTTTTAGCATGCTGCAATCCGCACACCTCTTTGTTGATAATAACGATATAAGAGCTGAGTTTATTTGAAGAATGTTCCAGTTTCTAGTACTGACCATGTTTAAGAGCTAAAGAACTGCCCACGTATGCAGCGAGAACCAAAAAATATAAAATGAGCTTCATTCTAAGAATTGAGACCTTGTAACCGCAGTTGACAAACGTTGACTGAAGCGAGGAGAAACTATCTAGCTTTATAGCTTTATGTGATGTCTAAGTCTCATAAATACTTTAAAACTAAATAATGTGAAATATTTAATTAAAAGGCGCAACTGAATCGAATTGTACAGTGTATATAACGCTGGGGAAGGGTTTTTGGGGATTATCAATATATTGTTTAATATCTTAGCACGATTGCATTTTCTGCCTAATTGTAAAAGCAATTAGTTGGAACACGTTAACCTATCATGCTTTATTCTTTGGGTATTCATTCTAGGCACTTGTCCTCACAATCTTTTCGGTTCAAAAAACTATTAGCATTTCCACCGCAGCCTCCGTACATAAACATTGAGCATTCCTTGGTCACTGTATTATAGGACCATCTTTCGTAGTAAGCCATGCAGGTGAATCCACCATTAGTTCCTTGTTTAACATGTGGCATTCCGCACACCTCTTTAATGGTAATAACGAGATTAAAGCTTAATTTATTTAAAAAATGTCCCAGGTTCTAGTACTAACCATGTTTAAGAGCTAAAGAACTGCCCACATATGCAGCAAGAACCGGAAAAATTAAAATCAGCTTCATTTTAAAATTTGAGAACTTGTAAGCGCAGTTGACAAAAGTTGACTAAAACGAGGAGAAACTATATTCACAGTTTAGATCTGCATTGTATGTTTTAATAGGCAAAAAAGTCTCGATTCACTCGTGACTAATTGTAATAATCAAATTAAGTGTGTATAAAAAATAAAAATATCTACAGTCACCTTGGCAGGTCGGTAAAATAAAGTACTGTAAGGCCAAATCTTAAAAAGAATCATCTACTGACATTTTTCAAATGCTTAAATTCCTCGGCGCTCAGAGAAAATCCGAAGTATGGAAGCGCAAGCAACCCAATGAGGTCCATAAAGGACTAAATGGAACAACTGAACACAATGCTTTATGCGATCTCAATAAAAGTTTAAAACTTATTAGTGTCAGATAACTAATTTGTGCATATTGTACACATTGTTTAATAGCTAATCCCGAGTGCACATTCTATAGATCGTGTTACCCCATCATGCTGTCTACATTGGTTATTCACTCCTGGCACTTATCCTCACAATCTTGTTGGGTAAAAAAGTTATTAGCAGTTCCACCGCAGCCTCCATAAAGAAAAGCTGTGCATTTTTTTGCCACTGCATCATAGGACCATCTGTTGCCGCGAGCCAAGCAGACTATTCCATCTTCAAATCCATCTTTAGCATGTTGCAATCCGCAGTCCTCTTTGTGGGTAATAACGAGATAAAAGCTGAGTTTATTTAAAGAATGTTCCTGTTTTTTAGCACTGACCATGTTTAAGAGCTAAAGAACTGCCGACGTATGCAGCGAGAACCAAAAAATATAAAATCAGCTTCATTCCTAGATTTGAGAACTTCTAACCGCACTTGACAAACGTTGACTGAAGCGAGGAGAAACAGTTGAAGTCTGTATTGTGTGTTTCATCCGGAAAACAAGGGTCGATTCCCTCGTATCTAATTTCAATAATCAAATTTAATGTATGACATTATCGTGTGTGAGAAGAAAATAATGTGAAAGGGCTTTCTACCTAGAGCTTCCATAGTAGTCAAGTAATCAATATAGCATTTAGGGATAGTAGCTGCACTTTGTAATGTGGGCGGGCTTCCGAAGATCGAAATTATATATAGCTACATACAACAATGCCTTAAACGATTCCAAGTCACGTATAAAATACGAAACTAATTTTTGTGAAATATTAAACTAAAAGCTAGAGCTAATGCCAGAGTTAAGCGGAGATGAGGCTCACCGAAAGTAGACTCGGAATACGTTTGTTTTTGCATTGCATTGCAACATAAACGAGCGAAATATTATTTTTTACCATACTTAAATATTTTTGACTTAGTTGCAAATGGGTTTCAAGTTTCTGGTTGTAGTAGAGTCAAAAAATAAGCAAAATTAAGATACTCTTAATAACTTCATAAAAAAATTATGTAAATAAAACGAGTTGCGGAAGAGAGAAATAGTATGATACATAGCAGAAGTTTAAATTCCCTTAAACTATTATATATACTAAGTAAAGTATAATTAAATCAAAATTAAATAAACTAACAATAGCAAGCAAATTGTTCAGTCTGTGTCATTAAAAAACTCAAATTCTGTTTGGCCTTCTGAAGATCAACGCACGCATTCAATTTTAGTGTTTTCTCGTGTTTTAATTGTTTATGCAAATTGTCAAGATAAATGTAATTAAAGTGCTTCACGCTCTTGACAACAAAATAACAACAAAAAACTGAAATGTTTGCAGCTGGCAGCTGTTTACTTTCGTTTGTTATTGTTTTTTTCAGTCGGTCAAGATTATACGATTTATTGTATTACTTGATATTTAATAAAAAAATTGAAAACCTGTCTATACTGTAGCTTTGAATAGCGCAGCTTTTATTCTTAAACAAACACATAAATATTACAAAATTAATTCATGCATCTTCCGAAGTACTTCAATTATAAACTAAATAAATTTTTATTTTAATAATTTGTTTAAGCAAGTTGCATATTCAACTTGGGGTTATGTAAGAAATCTGCCCTAGTTATATTTACCGATCTGCTCTTATTTATTATTATTTAATTTTGCTGCTCTGCTGCCTTATGCAATCATTAAATCGAGAGTGTTTTAATTTTTTGCATAATATTGAAGGTTTTTTCGCTTTTGGCAAAAAATACTTGTTTCAAGATCAAAATTTTAGGAGGATGCATGGAATGTTTTTAATAAGAGCAAGAAAAAAGCGAAGATATGTTATGGGGATTATCATAAACCAGATACAGGTCAAGTTTATATCCGATTATTGATAACTCCAAGCATCTAAATCGATAAAAATGAATTCTGAAAATCTCTTCTTATACGTTTGTAGAGAGTTTTATATATACTCTTTAATGTAATGTGTATTGTATAGAAAGTGAAATCTCCGATTCCATTCAAAATAAATATTCCTTATTAGTATTGCTATAACTATGTCTGTCTTTCTGTCTGACAAACTAATCTCTCAAGTTGAAAGCTACTCTAAAAAAAAACGTAGCATATATCCATCTTTCTGGTCCAGGTAGTACATATGTCGTTTCGAATTCTATATTATATATCTGGCACCTAAATATATAAAGTCGAATATGAAGTTTTTGTATGAAAAGCGTTGTTCACTTTCAAGATATCTTTATCTTTAGATCTATTGGAAGAATCGGTCGAAAAATTATTTATTTCATGGAAAAAGTGTTCGGTTATCAAGATATCTACACTTAACACAAAAGTTCTATTCACATAAGCCTAACTTCTAAAAGGGTGTTCAATCTTTGGCATGCAATAGATGCCAAATAAAGATTTTTGATACATTTGTGAATGTCATCTAATTATTCCAACTTAGCTTGGCGCCCTTATATTCGATTATTTATTTACTTTATTTGTATATTTTTTTGATTGACTTTCGGAATTACTGAGCTGACATAGAAGTTGGGCTCCAGTTCCAGGCGAATGATTGGCTTGTGAGCGTTTGCTTTTTTAATACAGCTTTTCAATTTGCATAAAATATACGAGAATATCGAGATAAAGAAATGCTTCGAGTCAGCTGAGTGCATGTCTAATGCGATGATAAATGCTTGCGATGAAACGCTCGACTTGAGATTAGCTGCAAAAAGATGGCAAATGGTAAATGGCAAATGGAAGATGGAAGCACACACAGGACATCCGGTTGAAGGCATTTGAATAACAATAACGATATCAAACGATATCAAAGTGCTGAGTGCATGCATTGAGAGCCAAAGGCAATTGCCATTAGCATATATGGCACAAAGTCGGAATTGATTTGGTCAACCGTTACAACAACAAACAGCGGGCAATGATTCAGCTAAAACAGCAGCAGCAGCAGCAAAAGCAGCAGCATCAGCAGTCGACCTTCTGCCCAGTGGGTTGTCCCCTCGCCCACTTGGCCTGTCAGCTACTGCCGCTGCGCTATTATATCCTGATCCACATCCTGATCCCATGTTAGTTTGTGCGTGTCTTGTTGTTGTTTTTTCTTTTTTTTTTATTGTGGTGTGTCGCTTTATTGTTGTTGTCTGGGCGCGTTGACATGTGAGCTAAAGCAGAGCTGGGCCGCCCGTGGCCTTTTTGCCGGCTGATGAGACCGCCCACCGCTAACCGGCGCAAACTTCCTCCCCGCCACACTTATCACAAAAAAAAAACCAGCAGCCGCCTTTTGGCTGGGTGTGGCATATGGTTACATTGGCAGCACAACAAAACACGAAACACCCTCATTTACGCCCAATTAAATTTTCAAGTTGCTTTTTTATAAGCGAAAGCATTTGATTTTGAAGACATGAATTCCACAGTATTTAAAAAGTTTTAGTTAAGAAGAAAAGAGAAAAGAGAACGTGTCTTTGGCACACCGAAGATTTAATACCCTTGTGGACATTTGCCTAACGGTTTTTGCAGATATGTGAGAATTGTGAAACTCGTAAATGCTGAGTTTGATGAAGACAGCTTGCAAAACCGAATATATTGCCATACAAAAACTAATTTAAACACCGATTCTTCCAATAGCGATATAGAATATAGAATATATATACGCAGCTTAGTTTATCTTGATCGCTATAGCAGCAATATGATGTGGTCTCATATAGATAGAATTTTAATTGTAAATAAGGTAAATAAGGCAGAGTGAAACTTAGAAATGACGAGTCTATTCCAGATAACTTGAAGCACAATAAGTTACCATACAAGATTATTTATTTATTATTTATTTCTATGGCAGCTATATGATATTTGGTTCGATATTGATAAGATTTGGCATATATACATAGTGAAACTAATAAATGCCGAGTTTAGTCAAGATATATTAAAAAACAAACAGTTGTCCATAAAGAACCTACTGTTATACCGGTTATAGACATGGAAGCCATATGATATAGTAGACCGATGTAAGTATGAATTGCACTATGTATACAAAGTTACAAGACCATATCTTAAAGAATGGGAGACTTGTTCGCATAGAAACAGACTGGACATAGCTATATAAGCTCGATAGTTCATGCTTATCTGGAATAAATATATGGGGTCCGAGATAACTCCTTCTATGTGTTACACATATAATGATCAAATTATAATACTCTACGGAGGTATAAAAAATGACATAAAGGGTGACATCAATCAATTCAAATAAGGCATACGTTTGGAATTCCCAATGGGTTTAGGAACTGACTAGGTCGCATGAGTTCCTTGACTTGAAAATTGTCTATAGAAGGTTGCTGAGGTTTGATATTGGTTTACTTTTGTATCTATGCAATAAAGATGATATAATTGTTATAAATTTAAATATATATTAATATACTACAAGTGAGTCTACGGGGTATTCTAGACGAGCACTCAAAACCAATGAACTTCAAATCGATTAACCATCTCATAAGTATATCTAGCTCACTAAGAATCTGGTTGCTAAAGACAATGCTGGAATCATTCATGCGCTGTTCCGTTGGTGATTAGAGGCTGGCATTGATAGCACGCGTCGGTCATATCAATGCAGCATCATTAGGTCGCTAGTTTTACTTTCTTTTCGAGAACTCAACGAGTGGGGAGGCTGGGCCAGAAGGGGGCACTCTTAATGTTTCCGCTGGCGCACACGACATCCGCTGACCGGAAGTGCGCCAATGGAATTTAAACGTTTTCATCCAAAACATTAACTGAATCGTCTTCCGCTGCGCACGCCTGTTCAATAGCCCGTGCCCGGGTCCGGCACCACAGGAGTCGCCAGGCGAGAGTCAAAAGTCTCGCCATCAGCCAGAACCAACCAGCCAGCCAGCCAGCCACCCACCCAACCAGCTAATATCATTACTGCTCTCATTGTGGTCGTTGTCTGGCTATAATAATACACAGCTCCCAAAATTTCTGCTTTTTTTCCACTTCCTCTTCTCTTTCTGCCGGTCTTAATCAATTGCTAATTTAGTCATCGCCGCCTTTAGGGGTGACATTTGTCCTGGTCTGAAGCGCAATCCTGCTCGGATTTGTAAATATTTGCTTGGAAAATTGCTCTCGGGGGTGGCGTTCGCTCTGTTTGCCCTTGTACTCTTTATTCCATTTTCCTTCTTCTTTTTTTTTGCTGGCAGTTGTTTTTGTGCTCAGTCGCATTGTTATTGTCAAATTGAGGACAAAATGCGACACTTGCCATAAATTTATTGTTTGTTGTTGCCTAATGCCATTGTAAGTGGAGGCTTAATGACACGCAGGCAATTAGCAGATCGTTGAGTTTTAATCGCGCTGGTTTACAGGGGTGTGCACCAGGGGTCTCATATAAGTAGTTATGGATAGCCCTTGGCATCAACTGGAGCTAACAACAGGAGCTACACGTAATTGGATTGCGTGGAATTTTTCCACAAGAAA